AGTAAGGGAGAAGAGAAAAGGAAAAATGGAGGACGGGGTGAGAGGGAGACTCTTCATAGCATATACATTTGTATAATTTGAGATGTTTAAAAAATGTCAATGTATTGCCTAATAAAGAGAGGAGGAGGAAAAGGGCAAAATCAAGTTACATAAGCAACTAAAAAGCTAAACGGGGAAAGGACACAGATGTGAATATGGCAAGGATTACAAGGTACTTAGGTCACACAGGATGCAGCTTTAAGAAACAGGAATCGGATGCTGAGGGAATAAATGGGACTGCCAGATGTATTAGCCTAACCAGCACAGTTCAAAAACACAGATATTACCCTACCAGACTCATCTCAGCAACAAGGCTATGGTAAGCTACTGTAAACCCAAATTCTCCAAGTAACCCTACTCTACTCTGTGTTCCAACCATTTATACTTGAGCATACACCACAAATCACATCCATCAAACGTTCACAGAAAAAGTGACATAGTCTCACCTGTAATATGTCAATGCCCAAAAGCAGTTTGATAAGGCTTTTAGAGTAAGATGTGCCCATGCTGTAAAAAAGAGATTAAATTTGTTTTCTATTTTGTTTTACTTCTTTTAATGTTTTTATTATGTTTTCTACCTAAAACTGGTTAAATACATAATATCTAAAGAGAAACTATCCTGTTAAACAAGAAATATAGAACGTGAGAAGATGGCTCTTAGCAAGAGGGGTGAAGATTTGAAATTCTATCAACGCTAGTGAAACACATTCTAGAAAACACTCTGGTTCTCAGCCTCATAACCACAAAATGAAGAATTTTAAGGTGAGGTCTAAATTGAGGAAAAGAGACCTATAAATCAAAATTGAAATTCTAAAAAATTGCATTTTCCCCCTCATCCCCCAATCCAGTTAGTATAACAGACTGAATTCAGCAAGACTTCGTGCCTCCTCTCCACACCTGGCTTCCTGATCCTGCGGACGTTCACAAGACAAAAGGCAGTTCCTGAAGCTGTCTTGGTCCTCAATGTAAGACTCCAGGCCACTAACAAATTCTTCTATTATCTTAACAAGGAGATTTAAAAAATGAAAAAGACAAGGGAAGAATAAGATTTTTAGTTTAACATTTGCTGTCAGTTAGCTAAAAATCATTCTAGCCCACTCAACTTTATGCCAGTGTCTTCCAAAGTACTGCTGACAAAAGCAAAAATACCAGGGAAAAAATACATACTTTGGGATAAGAAGGATGTTTCCTCAGGGTCTGAAAGAGCTTCTTTTGGAAAATAATTTGATCCACAGCTACGAGGAAAAAAGAATAGCTGGTCAGCATTCTCCTACCATAGATTTCCTTCCCTAAAAACCTAAGTTTCTTGTCTAATGAAACTAATAAAAATATCTGCAACCTAATTTCAGAACCACATCTTCTAAATCCACAGTAAAGACTTAGTTTCGATAGAAGATAGCCACTGAATGTTCTAAAAAAGACCTGCCATAACCTTAGCAGGATAGAATAATCAGTGACCCCCAAACAGGGCCTTATAAGGCTTTATAAATTTTCTTCTGGCCTGGGCACAGTGGCTTATGCCTGTAATCCCAGCACTTTGGGAGGCTGAGGCAGGAGGATCACTCGAGCCCAGAAGTTCAAGATCAGCCTGGGAAACATAGCAAGATCCCATCTCTACAAAAAATAAGAAAAATTAGCCAGGTGTGGCACGCCTGTAGTCCTACTCAGGAGGCTGAGGTGGAGGATTGCTTCAGCGCAGGAGTCCGAGGCAGCAGTGAACTGTAATTGCGCCACTGCACTCTAGCCTGGGCGACAGAGTGAGACGCTGTCTCTTTAAAAAAAAAAAAAAATTTTTTTTTTCTTCTGAAGTTATTCTGACACGGATATAGTTTCTTCCTGGGCATTAATTTATTTTTTCACAAGAAAATACAAAGGAATACTAGAAAGGAATACTAGTATATAATGTTTTTTTTCTAAAGGAAAAAAAGCATAAGTACTTTACTTAACATACATTAACCAGGACCAAAGACTATAACAATATTCTCTAAAAAGCAATTTTGTCTTTTTTCTCAAGACAGATGGCCCCCTATTTCTAATATTCATTGTTTCTCTATTTGGGAAATCCACCATTCAGTCCTGAGCCCTTTCACTAAACTCAGAGAACAGATTTAGATTAACATATTACCTAGTTGATTCTGACTCTCTCCAGTTTTAAGAATAACTCCTGATGTCTTAAGAAGCTTTACAAAGACACTATCATTTTCTTCAACTGCATTGGGAATATGAGATTTCTTTGTCTTTTTGGAAAGTGGCTGCTTCCTGGCTTCTGAAAATAGAGAAAATTTTCAAGAATGTAAAAAATTATAAAGCAAAGATTAGAACATAAAACCAGGATAACCCTGACAGAAAAATTGATGTGTTCCTAAAGAATTGTACTAGAATTGATGCTGTAGTGAAATAAACTATCTGTAACAATCGTCAGCAATAGTGGCTTCCAAACAAACAAATAAATAAAACGATCAACAAATAGAATATTTACCTATCGGGTTTTCATTTGAACAATTCAAAATGTGCCATTTTAACGATAACTATGGAAGTATTTTCCACCCAAATTCTAAACTAGTGTCACTCAAGCTGTTGCTTGCAAACCACTGCACTGAAATCACTGGGAAGCTTATTAAAATGTATATTCCTAGACTATATCCCAGAGCCGTTGAGTCAAAATCTCGGGAGTAAGACCTGGGAGTCTGAATTTTTCACAAACTCATTAGGCAATAATCCTGATGCACACCAAATCTGAGACTCAATGATCTATATACAAGGGTCCACAGAATGGGGCAGGTTCTCCTGCATCACATCTTTGAATACAAAGCCCAGATTGGTTTCATTCCAAGGCTTTCAATCCATAAAAAGTAATAAGATGTAATAAATAAACAAACACAAACAGGTACTTGAAGTCAAGTATAAAATCTTCTATTCCCTTTAATGAAGCAACTATACTGTTTTTTCCTCTTCTAATTCGTCTTCCTCTCTCTCTTTTTTTTTTTTTTTTTGAGACAGAGTCTCACTGTGTTGCCCGGGCTAGAGTGCCGTGGCGTCAGTCTAGCTCACAGCAACCTCAAACTCCTGGGCTCAAGCGATCCTCCTGCCTCAGCCTCCCGAGTAGCTGGGACTACAGGCATGCGCCACCATGCCTGGCTAATTTTTTCTATATATTTTTAGTTGTCCGATTAATTTCTTTCTAATTTTAATAGAGACGGGGTCTCGCTCTTGCTCAGGCTGGTTTCAAACTCCTGAGCTCAAACAATCCGCCCGCCTCGGCCTCCCAGAGAGCTAGGATTACAGGTCTGAGCCACGGCGCCCGGCCCTCTTCCTCTCTCTAATAAAGCCTTAAGCAGAATGAAACAAAGACCACTCCTTCCTTAAAGAAATTTAAAGTATAACCAGAATGACAGATTCAGCTTGCTCATCACTGACCAAGAGAACCCAAGTCCCTTCCAATAAACTTAATTCAGAAGTCTCTTCTCTTAGGGGAACAGTATTTCCAAAGTATGATATTAGTGACTTTCTAAATTATTCCTCTTCATTTCAAAATTTCTACCAATTTCTCTATATTCTACAATCCCTTTACTAACATTGTTAGAGCCTCAGAATTTCCTTTTCTAAATCGAGCCTATTCCTTACATGGTTTTGGCCTTGAAATTTTAATCATTCTAAATGCTGTTCAACAAGCATTTTAATCAACTTCAGTTGTATTTGATCAAGAATCAAACCTACATTCCAATAACCTAATAAGAAATAACTCTTCATAACAGAACTTATTAACAAGCATCACTAAAGTTAGTATAAAACTCCCCACTGCTAAATTTGACTGGCTAAAAAAAATTTTTTTAACTAAAAAAAGAAATACTAGCACTCTGGGAGGCCGAGGTGGGCGGATTGTTTGAGCTCAGGAGTTCGAAACCAGCCTGAGCAAGAGCGAGACCCCGTCTCTACTAAAAATAGAAAGAAATTAATCGGACAACTAAAAGATATATAGAAAAAATGAGCCGGGCATGGTGGCACATGCCTGTAGTCCCAGCTACTTGGGAGGCTGAGGCAGGAGGATCACTTGAGCCCAGGAGTTTGAGGTTGCTGTGAGCTAGGACACCACGGCACTCTAGCCCGGGCAACACAGTGAGACTCTGTCTCAAAAAAAAAAAAAAGAAATAACTGTTCAATCAACAAGTTAGAACTGCTTTAATACAGTGAATGAGTGTCATAAGTGAAAATGAGTATCAATGCCTTCTCTTTGGAACTTTCAATATCTTTTGTCAAACACAATCTCATAAGGGCAGAGTCTGCACTGTTTCTTTGCCTCTGGTGTACTTGCTTTGACATGTATTTCCTTTATACATCACTATCATAGACCCTTTTTTATATACAATTATTTAAACCATAATTTTTTTCCCACCTTTCTAAGATCATGGAGAATAGATCATAATTTTTTTAAGAGAGGTTTTTTAAAGAGTAGGGACTATGTTGTATCTTTGTGTCTTAGCACCTAGATGATGCACAGTAGATAAAGTCTATAATACCAATTCCTTTTATGAATATGGAGACTGAGGCTCAGAGGCTGTGGGCATGCCCAAAGTCATATGTGGAATTAGAGAAAGAAACTCCATCCCAAATCTCCTGGTACTAGATCCTGTGTGCTCTGTCCATTTAGCCTTGATGACTCTCAGAACTTGAAAAATAGGAACTTTACATCTCTTTAAGTGCCTCACACATTTGCTACAGTAAATAAAGCAACAAATGACTAGACACTTACTGGAGGCATCTTCCGTCAGGCTCTCTTTATCCTCAGATTTTGACAATCTTCTTTTGGAAACCATTTTGACCAAAGTCTTTTGCCCATAAATTACTTCCTAGAGCAAAATCAGAGAATAGAAGTTAACCTCTAGAAGCTAAATTCTGAGAAGTTAATGCTATAGCTCAAAGAAAACTGCTATATCCAAAACCAGAGGAGTTCTAGTCTTCATACTAATGCTATCTAGATCCAGGTGCCGAGCAAATTTCAACACCTACATCTGGCCAATAGTGTCTTCCTTTCAAGACTTGTTTACCTAGTTGCTTCTTTAGGCAGATGACTTGCCTGTTGCTGAAGGACAAACCCATAGTTCTCCATCTGAGATTCAAGACCCTTTATCATCTTGCCCTAAACAACCTGTCCTTTAACTCAGGAATTCAATACTACATATTAGGGACTGTGCTAGGTGCTGGGGTTACAATTGTGAACAAGACAGACATGATCTCTGTCCTCAGGGAATTTATAGTAACAAACAGTCAATGTTTTTAACTACGGTTGTGTAAATGCTATAAAAGAAAAGTACAGGGTGTATGAGGGCTTACAAGGAAATTTATCTACTTGAGAGTGCAAGTAGTGAAGAAGGGATAATTTCTCAGGGACAATCTCCCTAAGAAAGTGATTTTTAAGCAGGGATTTAAGAGTTGGAATAGGAGTTAGCCAGTAGAAGAGGTACAAGAGTAGTAGTCCAGGCAAAGAAAAACTCATACTGAAATAGAAAGGAGCTTGTAGAATTTGAAATGACACTGCAGAGTTAGGGGAGGGTCTGAATCACATAACCTTCTAGTTTATCTTGTAAACCAGAACCTTCCTGGTCTTAGTGCCTTTGCACAAAAGTGTTCTCTTCATCTGAAATGCTCTTATCTGCCTGGAAATTTCTACTCATCCTTAAAGACTCAGTCAAATGTCATTTTCCTTGAAAAGTGTCCTATCCTTAGGGGAGTTTGCTACTCCAGCTTCCCTGCTCCACAGAGTATACTTAGGAACCCACACCACATCGCAATAGGGTCAGACCGTGTGGCTCCTTGAGAGCAGGAATCCAGCCTCATTTATCTCAGTGTCCCTAGTGCCCAGCACAGATTCCAGAATAAAGAAAATTTGTGAGAATATTCAGAGTGAGAATAGTTGGCAGGGCAGGTAAAAATACTAATCGCTAACAAGAACCGTTTTACGTACTTTATACTTAATAATTCATTTATTTCTCACAAACTTTTTGAAGTAGGTACCATTCTTATTCTCATGAGTGACAGCACTAGGATTCTAACTCAGGCAGTCTGGCTCCAGAACCTGCACTCTTTACCACCTATGCTTACACTTGATTACAATAATCACTTATAATAGTTAATATTTACGATGTACCAGGCACTGTGCTGAATGTTCTTTCTTTATCCCTTGCCTCGTTTAATACTTATAACCATTATCAGCCATTTCGCAGATGGAAAAACTAAGGCAAGTCAGGACGTTCTATCTGCAGGGAACCCGCCCTTAACACGTGTGATTCCATTTGGCTTCCATCGAAGCCTAAAAGACAGATGAGGCCTACTGCCTGGACTAGGAGGCCATCGAGAAGTAGGGGATGAGGGGGAAGTAAAATCCATCTTGGTTCGTCATTTTAGCTACGCAGAGAGGTACCTGGGGGGATTATCCCACGATAGGGCAGCTGAAAAAGCCAAGGTTCGGGGCACAGAGCCCCAGGGGGAAAGCCGGGCTAAGCCTGGGCCTAGTGACTAGGCCGCAGGGCCGCGGGGCCTTGAGAAACTACGATCGCTGCTCCACTCACCCACCGACAAGCCGTCGTCGCCCCGAGCTTTCGACTTTCCCGCCAGGCGCAACGGCGTTCTGACGCCACCGAGGCGCCCCGCGTCGTGACGTCAAACTTCCGCGCCGGAAGTGGGCGTCCGGGCGGCCCACTTGGAAGCAGTGCGTGAGCCTGGGGTCTGCCGCAGAGTCCTGGGCCGGCTAAGCTGAGGGGCGTGAGAAGGCCCAGAAGCGAACGCGAAGAGGAGCGCCTGCCCCCCGGAGAAGAGAAACCCGGCTACTTTCGGCTGGGAGCCGGTTTTCAGTGAAGATGGCGGGGCCAGAACTGCTGCTTGACTCCAACATCCGACTCTGGGTGGTCCTACCCATCGTTATCATCACTTTCTTCGTGGGCATGATCCGCCACTACGTGTCCATCCTGCTGCAGAGCGACAAGAAGCTCACCCAGGAACAAGTGTCTGACAGGTCAGTGCCCTCCCTCCTTCGGCCGACCTCACTCTCTCTTGACCTTGGGCGAGAAAGTGCAAGGGTTATGTCAGTTTGCCTGGGTTCGCGTCGCGCCCCCACTAGCAGGCTGACCTTAGCTGTTACCTCTGTTTCATTTTTGTGTTCTGTAAAGCAAGGATGATAACAGTACCTGCCTCATCCAGCAGGCGTGGGGATCAAATTAGATGATATCTGTAAAGTCCCTAGCATAGGGTCTGGGACGTTTTAGGTGCTCCAAAAATTAATATTGTTAGGTGAGTCGCCAACCCTCGGTGGACTTATCTATGAACTATCCCGTCCCACTCTTTCGTTGGAAGAGTGCCTACTGAGTGCCACGTGCATTACTGTTTTTAGCCTTCCCGACATCCAGTCAGGTGGGTGTGATAATCCTCGTTCTACCAAATTACTGCTGTGTTGTCCCCTGCGATGCTAAGTAAGAAAGCGCTTTGTAAACTGTAAAATTGCCATTAGAGATGTGAGGAGTCGTAATTAATATGTCCTCTCCTAAAGTGGAGGCAACTTCTTCCTCACATGCTTCATTCTGGTATTTATCTGTGGGGACAGGACTTGGAGAAGATTTTAAGTGGTATCTAGACATACGCCCCTTCTATATTAAAATAATTTTCGATCGATTGTTCTGATTATTTTCAGAGACCATCTCAGGTAAGTGTTACTATATCTATAAGACCTCCATATCATTTATTAATCTCTCATTTTAACAAAGAGCAAGCCTCAGGCTCAGAACTTTCCACAGGTCACATATCTAGTTAAAATTTAATAATAACGTTTTATTTCTATTGTGTTTATTTTAACAGTTACTTTCTTTGTGTGGCAAGTAATACTGGATTTCCATTTGCTAGTAATTTAAAGATTCCTTTAAATTAAAAACTTATATGGGTAGAAAAAAGATGATACATGCAAAATATTAAATGTGTAATAGTACAAGTGCTAGTAGGTGAATAAGACAAAAAATTCTAAGATGGAATGAGAATGACTGAAGTTTGGGAAGCACTGCTTTATCATTTTCAATTGTCCTTCCCAATTATGGTAAGAAGAATAATAAACCAACACTTATTCTATACCAGGCACTATGCTAAGCACTTTTATTCATTAACTTATTTAAAACTCAAAGCAACTCTATAAGGTAGGTACTCTTCTCCCATTTTGTAGAAACTGAAGCTTAAAAAGTTTCCATGGTCACACATAGTGACATTCAGGACTCAAAGCCAAGTCTTCTGATTCCCAAGTCTGGAACTCTTTCCACTATACCACAGTGACCACTTTGATTATTTTCCTGTGGCATCAGTTTCAGAATTGACAAGAGCCAGGCCCCTGTTACTAACATGAAGTCAGTTTACCACAGAAAGAAAGATACAAAAGTGGAGAGAGCTCAGACATTTAGCATTTATTGACACCTAAAAATTGTTCTCATTCTATCCTTACAATACCAGTGAGGTAGATAACCCCTTTTTACAGTTAAGAAAAGGAAGCTGGGAAAAGTTAAGTAGCCTTCCCAAAGTAACCAAACTAGCAAAATATAGTGCCTGTACTTGGAGTTAGATCAGTCTCACTTCCAAGTTAAATCCTCTTAACCCCAATTCCTGCTGTCATAGATTCTCTACCACAGTTTTCCACCTTTGGTTCGCTATATGATTTTAGAGTGATGTTTCTGAATATATTCGATCTAAAGCTCTCTTTTTTAACCCCAAAGTAAAATTCAAAGTTAGTGCAGTCTACATAGAAGAACATTTAAAAAAATAATAATGTTATAATTGTAATAATCAAGAGAAATAAAAAGAAAGTAATTTATAGTAAGATCATTTATATTTCTTTTTTTTTTTTTTTTTTTTTCCGAGACAGAGTCTGGCTCTATTGCCCTGGCTAGAGTGCCGTGGCGTCAGCCTAGCTCACAGCAACTTCAAACTCCTGGCCTTAAGTGATCCTCCTGCCTCAGCCTCCCAAGTAGCTGGGACTACAGGCATGTGCCACCATGCCCGGCTAATTTTTTCTATATGTGTATTTTTAGTTGTCCAGATAATTTCTTTCTATTTTTAGTAGAGACAGGGTCTCGCTCTTACTCAGGCTGGTCTCGAACTCCTGACCTTGAACGATCCACCAGCCTCGGCCTCCCAGAGTGCTAGGATTACAGGCGTGAGCCACCGTGCCCGGCCTCATTTATATTTCTTAAGTGTTTGTGCACAAGTGTCCTAGAAGATGTAATGCAGAAGTCAGAAGCATGCACCTCGCTGTAAAATCGCCATAATTGGGTCACCATACTGGTCTAATACGGTCAAAATACACCATAACTGTATCAGTTGTCGACTGATACAGTTACATGAATATCACAGAAAGCAGTGCTGTTTCAATGTGATTCTCCTAACTGATACAGATGTGTTAGCTACTTAAATATCACAGAAGGCAGTACTCTCTCAATATGATTTTCCTAAATGGTGAAATACTCTTGGTAAAGTTCTGAATAAAACAAAGTGCAATTTTTCCCTATATTTACTTGGTGCTTGCATACCTGTGAATTTACTATATATAAAAACCAGCCTGGGCTGGGCTTGGTGGCTCACACCTGTAATCCTAGCACTTTGGGAGGCCAACGCAGGATGATCACTTGAGGCCAGGAGGCTGAGACCAGCCTAAGCAACATAATAAGACCCCATCTCTACAAAAAATTTTTAAAAATTAGCTGGGCAGGGTGGTGCACACCTGTAGTCCCAGCTACTCAGGAGTCTGAGGCAGGAGGATCACTTGAGCCCAGACATTTGAAGTTACAGTAAGCTATGATGGTGCCACTTCATTCACTTCAGCCTAGGTAACAGCATGAGACCCCATCTCTAAAAAAAAAAAAAAGAAAAAGAAAAAGTGTGGGGCATGAGACAATTCTTTGTATTATGTGACTATCCCCAGCACTGAGGTATACTTAATATCTCTTACCCCTAACAAATGACAGTGATATGATTTTTCTGCCTCTACCCTATCACTTTGACAGTTAAACAAGTTCCACAGATTTCTATAAGGCCCCCTAGAGGGCAGTACCACCCCCCATGGAGAACCACTGTTTTAGAGAAAACCCAACATCTCTGGTCATAATTGCACTATCTCTTAAGTGAGGTAATTGGATAATGCCAGCTCTGATATGGTGTGACTCTGCTCCACCAAAACATCATTTGAACTTGAGTAGAATGCTATGCATTCTGAACTGGCCTAAGTCCAAGGAAAAGACGTTTTTAATTGTAAAACATTTCTCTAAGTACAGTATAAATTTCCATTAGCCTGAGTGATCATAAAATGGGAAGTTTCATTTCTTAAGTGATTAAGCTTTCACTGCTTCAAAACTTAACTAAATTTTTTCTAAAATGTATTAAATGAAAAATGCATGAGTGAAATATATTAGACCATATTTGGAGATAGAATGTATGTGAAAAGTGGTTCTCAAACTTGAAGAATATACTGACTCTTTGGAAAGGAAAAAAAAATCAGATTCTTAATATGGAACACTAGTTTGAGAAGTACTGATTTTAAAAACTAAAGTTTTATTCTAAGAAAATGTCTTTCAGTTGGAAATTACCAAAGCTTTATCTTTATAACCAGTACAAGGACTTATTTTTAGACGTTCATTAAAATGAAAACATAAATATTTCTTCTAGAATTTGCAAACTTCAGAGAATACAGCTATGGATCTCAGCTTAAGAAATTGAATATTTAGAATGTACACAATAATTTAAGCTTGCTTTGATTCAGGGTCATGATTGTCAGCCCCAGTTCTACATAATTGTTTAGCAGTATAAATACAGATCTAGATGAATTTCTTTTAATGACAGTGCCTGGAAAAGTCCTGAATTACCATAGAGTGAACGAGTTTTTATGATGACCTACCATGTGCCCTGCCCTCTGCTATATTCTGTGGAGTACGAAATAAAACAAAGTCAAGACCCTGCTGTCAGAGAGTTTCAATCCAAGTGATAAAACATGCAACGGGAAAATATTAGATCCCATTAGTCTAGGGCTTAGGATGTGCCAGGTACAGTAGTAATGAGATAATATGTATAAAGAACTCTCTGGGAGGCCAAGGCAGGAGGATCGCTCAAGGTCAGGAGTTCCAGAACTCAGCTAAAAACCTCCCCTCTCTTTCCTTTTCCTGTTAAGATAATGATCAAAATATAGTGGGACCTACGTGGCCTTGTGTAGTCTGGCTCTTGCCCATATCTCAGATGACATTTTCAGACATTTCCTATACTTCTCTTTCTTCCAGCCACATGGCCTTTTCTCGTGTCCTCAGAGACATAGTATTTACTCCTGCCATGGGGCTTTTGTCCATGATGTTCCCACTAGCACTTTGCTAGGTAATTCCCACTCATCCTTAAGATTCCAACCTAATCCTACATCCTGGTCAAAGCTTCCTCTCAGACCTTGACTTTCTAGACCAGTCTCCTCCCCCTGTTATACACTTCCATAACACTATCCATCTCTCTTCCTAGGATTTTTTTTTTTTTTTTTTTTTGAGGCAGAGTCTCACTCTTTTGCCCGGGCTAGAGTGAGTGCCATGGCGTCAGCCTAGCTCACAGCAACCTCACACTCCTGGGCTCAAGCAATCCTTCTGCCTCAGCCTCCCGAGTAGCTGAGACTACAGGCATGCGCCACCATGCCCGGCTAATTTTTTCTATATATTTTTAGTTGTCCGATTAATTTCTTTCTAATTTTAGTAGAGACGGGGTCTCGCTCTTGCTCAGGCTGGTCTAGAACTCCTGAGCTCAAACAATCCGCCCGCCTCGGCCTCCCAGAGTGCTAGGATTACAGGCGTGAGCCACCGCGCCCGGCCTCTTCCTAGGATTTTAACTGTTGAATTTCACATTTATTCCTCTGGTTATTTGATTAGTGTCATTCTACCCCACTTTAATCTTCGTGAGATATTTGCATTTTGATCACTGTTGTTCATGTTACCTAACACAGTACCTGGCATTCAGAAGTTCAAGAAATATTTATTCAATGAAAGAATAAATCTGTTATTATACAGAATATGAATGGAGGCTTAAGGAATTAAAGTGAATTGCCTGAGATCAGATAGATAATAAGTGGCAGAGACAGAATTTGAACCCATCTGTCCAACTCCAGAGCTTAAGTTTTTTGTTGTTGTTGTTGTTTGTTTTGTTTTGTTTTGTTTTAGAGACAGAGTTTTGGTCTGTCGCCCAGGCTGGAGTGCAGTGACCTGATCATAGCTCACTGTAACCTCAAACTCCTAACAGAGCTTAACTTTTTACTCATTGCTCTGGATCTCCTGCTTCTTATACTGTCAATAGTGAAGGACCAGTGGAGGCGGGGAGGGGGGTGTTTTTTAATTTCCAATCTCTTGCAGACTGATGCTTTTGTAAAATATTTTGATCACGTATTTGTATGTTATGAGAATGTCAAATTATTATAAAACTCTATAAACCCTTGCACTCAATATCTGTACTTATCTTGTCACAGACCAGCATTGGTATATAGGCCACACTTAAGAGTATCTTTAGGCTAGCACCCAGGGAACAGGATATATTACATGTCACCTCAACAGGCCTGTGTATACAGTAGACAACTGTACAGTTGAACAAGGCGAAGAGGAGGAAGAACAGAGAAAATTCCACAAGGTCACCTAGCATCAGGAAGAGCTTCGTGGAGAAGATAGGGCTTCAAGAAGGTATTAAGGCATGATGGAGTAGAGTTGGTGAAGGAAAGGGCACTAGAGCACTGTCAGCATGTGGAGAAGCTAGGACATGTGTAGAGTGACAAGGAGACCCCACTGACTGCCTAGAGCAGGTGGTTTGTACTGAGGAGCAGAGAGAGAGAACGCCAAGCACAGTTTTCTTGTGTTCATTTCTGTCTATAATTTTTTTTTCACTTTTCAAGAAGGATTTCCATCAATTTAAGGGCTTTTTACCCCTTTGAACAATTTTTGAATACCTAGAAAAAAATTAGTATTTTGTATCTCTGTTCTGTTTGGTATTTGTATGTTAGCAACAGCCACTTATTATATAGTACTCTATTATCTTTAATGATCCACTATGCTCTAATCACCAAGTAATTTCATTTATTAATTAAATAAATGTTTATTGAGAGCTTTCTAACAGACTGAATCCTGGATGGAATTTCTCTTTGTTTTCCATCAGATAACCCTCTCAAGTCCTGTACTCATTTCTCAGTGGATATTAAGAAGTTCCTTCTTTTATCCTCACCCTTCCCCCCTCCTCCTGCCCCCAAATCTTTGGAACAGTGTCCAACTGCTACTCTTTTCACTGAGAGAAATTTCCTCTGTAGCTTATTATGAAGTAAGAAAGCTGAGTGTAATGTCCCAGATGTGCCTTCCTCAGAAATCTTTATTTGTTAAGAAACATAGTCACTTCTGAGAAATACTTTTCTGAAAACCTGACTGTTAGATTAAATATGTTATGTTGGTTTTAAAGATACTTGCATTTTGGAAAGTTTCCACACAGAGCTATTGCCAAATAGGTCCTCTCTTGTGTTTAAATAGGTCTTCTACTTTACTCTTTTCTTCTAGTGTTTCACTTTTAAAAATCTCATTGTCTTGGTTGTGTTTTTCAGTCAAGTCCTAATTCGAAGCAGAGTCCTCAGGGAAAATGGAAAATACATTCCCAAACAGGTACTCATTTATCTTTTATTAAAAAGCTCCACAATTCACTGCTGAGGGCAGTAGAATGTTGTATAAGGGGACACTCTGGGGAAAGCTGAAGGTTGGCAACTCAGTAATTAAGCTGTGGCCTGGTGGTGTTTACTGTCAATGTGACCTCATCCTTCTTAGGCAATTGTTTTTAAATGTGACTCAGCTAAAGTGTCAGGTCAGCTGCCACATAGGCTGACAGCTCCGAGTGTAACAGCATACTCCGAGGGCCTTCTGATGAAGCCTCTGGGGAATAATTTGACAGTTTGCAATGTCACAGTTCTTAGACTTAAAAAGCTTTTTTTTCTACTAGTCTTTCTTGACACGAAAATATTACTTCAACAACCCAGAGGATGGATTTTTCAAAAAAACTAAAAGGAAGGTAGTGCCACCTTCTCCTATGACTGGTATGTTTATTCCCTTCTCTCATCTTTAAGGAAGATTTTTAACACTGGTTATTGAATGGGGCAAGGGAAAGGGTGGAGGGAGGATGTCATTTTATTTAAATATTAAATTGTAGAAGATAGTAATCCAAGGGACCTTAGAAATAATCTAATATGGGGATTGATGGAAGTGGAGTTCTCTTTCTCAAATAAATCTGGAACCCCAATGTATAAAACAAATTAAAAAAAAAAAGAGCTCTCGGCCAATGGAATGGGGAGGCCAGAGCCATTATCCCTGGGTTTCTCCTTGTTGTTGTTCCTCAGGACCAGTGTTCTATGGAGCATAGCTGGAAAAGCATTCCAGCCCCAGCTCCCACCTAGTGCCTGGATCCTATTGCTGACAGATGGTCGCCCTGCTCCTGCGAGCTCACTACACCCCAAGGCCAGCCATTTCTTTGTCAGACATGATTTCTTGGTCCACCCTACACTTTTGGTGCTAACAGATTTCTTATTTCCACTGATCCCAATTGTGTGGAAAATAAAGCATGTTTAAAGAAAAAGTAATTCATTGTTCTGTGTTGAGTGTCCTCTCATTTTAGTAGTACTTCTTTCTTTGTTTCTGGTAAGATAACCAGCTATTTTAAACCCATCGAGAAGGTACAGGAGTTAATTTTTTTTTAAGTAATTAAGATTGTATGGAATTAATTTTAACAAGTCTTTAAGGAAACTTACAAGAAACAAAGACCAATAAATATATGAAAAGATACTTGACCTCACTAATAATCCGTGGAATACAAATTAAAACAAGGTGTCCTTTTTTAGCCCATTAAATTGGCAGAGATTGAAAAAATTGACCAAAGCCACTGTTGACAAGATCAGGGGAAGTTAGGCCCTCTCACTGTTGGTGGACATGCCAAATGGTAGGGCCTTGTCAAAGGACAATCTGACAATGTCTGTTGATTTTAAATGTACAAATCCTTCGACCCAGAAATTCTTCTAAGAAGTTCTCTCACAGAAACACATAAACATGCAGATTTATGTACAAGATAGTTGTTGACAGCATCATTTATTGGCAAAACAATTACAAACAATCTATAGATCCACCGAAAAGTGATCAGTGCCACCACACAATGGAATCCTATGCAAGCTTTGAAAATATCAAGAGGTATATATTATACCAGTGTGGAAATACCATCCATAATATATTAATTTTTTTAAAATTAAGCAGAGTAGTAAGCATAGTATCCCTTTATTGGATATGCATTTACATGTAAATTATCATGTATATGTATATAGAAAGATGCAAGGATATGCAATAAACAGTTAAAAGTTTCGAGAGTGGGCTCAGAGGAACTGTCTGCATCATAACGTGTCTATGTCATTTGAATTTTTTTTATAGTGAACTTGTCTTTAATTATCAAGTACATTAAAATTTGTAGAAAATCAGAAGAAAGTCCCTGCCAACAGAGGTAAAATCTAGTGGTGTCTTGTGCTTTTGTCTTAGATCCCACTATGCTCACAGACATGATGAAAGGGAATGTAACAAATGTCCTCCCTATGATTCTTATTGGTGGATGGATCAACATGACGTTTTCAGGCTTTGTCACAAGTAAGTTACAGACCCAGCAGACCTCACATTTACTTCATCTGTGTTCCTTTCCCATGTCCCCTTTCAGAGAAATCCAAATGTTACTGAGACACTGATTTCACAGGTCCCTGTGTTTTCTTGTGGAAACTGGTAACATTCTTTGAACAAAAAAATTTAGGGCTGGGCGTGGTGGCTCACACCTGTAATCCTAGCACTTTGGGAAGCTGGGGCAGAAAGATCACTTGAGGCCGGGCATTCAGGACTATCCTGGGCAACATAGCGAGACCCCCTCTTTACAAAAAATAGATAAATTAGCCGAATGGGGTGGTGCACACCTATAGTCCCACCTACTCAGGAGGCTGAGGCTGAGGCAGGAGGATCGCTTGAGCCCAGGAGTTTGAGGCTGCAGTGAGCTATAATGAGACCACAGCACTATAGCTCAGGCCGCAGAGTGAGACTTTGTCTCATAAAAAAAAAAAAGCTATGATTTTATGACTCTTGTCACAAAATGATCCTAAGTTCATCATGTGGATCGTTTTTGCTTTTTACTAATAGAGACTCAAACAAGCAACTTGCGAGTTTATGTCCAAAACTAATACAGTAATTCCAGTTGAGTAGGATAAAGGGAAGTCTCTTTTCTATTTTGACTTCATTTGCTAGGTGTTAGGGTAAGTTTGCAATCTTTTTGTTTATAAGTCGACATGATTTTCATCAATTTGGTTTCTTAGTAATGTAGTTCTTTGTGTATATGTATTCCATTCAGGGTTTAACGGATCGGTGCAAGTTTTTTCCAGATTTTAGGTCACAGCTTACTTTGAGTCCTTGCTTGCTAAACTATCTAGAAGCTGGTATTGTTCAAGGAAAGTAGAGTGACAATTTGACTGTTTTTTTCTTCAGAAATTGCTACAATTTCCTTGTGGAAATCATTTTCTAAAAGCTTTGTGGCAGGCTCACACTTCCACAGGGAAAGAATACATGCATTCACACTTAAACTATTCTAAAATAAAACCGCTCGGAGTGGTTGTGAACTTTTTTTTTTTTCCTGCAGCCAAAGTCCCATTTCCACTGACCCTCCGTTTTAAGCCTATGCTACAGCAAGGAATTGAACTACTTACATTAGATGCATCCTGGTAAGAACTTTCTTTTATTTAATAAAAAACACAAACCAAAATCTAAAACCAGTGTCTCTTAAAGATCAGGATTTCCAATTTGCATAATTCACTAGAATAGTTGTTATAGTTTATTTTTCATTAAAATTCCACTCAAAACGTCATGGGTGGTTTATGGCAACTTTTACATGAGTCTTGCAAAAGGAAATAATGTGTCAGCCTCTTTTCTCTAGCTTCTTGGGCTTAGGAAGGCAGGGGTGGATGTGTCAACCTCGAGAAAGTTAAAAGATTAAGCCAAGAATTCTGGCCAGGGCAAACCTTTTTAGCAACACCCTGGAGCTTGTGGGAATGGATATTTATATTATTTTTTTTCCAAAATACATTACGACTAATGATAACATTAATAGTTTTCATTAGTTCCGTTCACTGTGCTGTGTGTTTTCAATATTTTATCCTCATAGCCGTCTATGAAGTCTGTGGAGGAGGTAAGATTTGACCACAAAGTCCATCCAAATCCAACACTCATGTTTTATTTACGACTCTATTTTTTATAATAGAATAATAAAACCTAAAATCTGAAAAACTCTTAGAAAACACGGCTACAATATCTGGAGCCCAGTAATTCTGCTTCGTGTGGCCTCTCCAGGCTGCTTTGTCTATGGCCTCCCACAGACGGACATAGAAAAGAAGCCAAACAAGAAAAAGGGGGAATAATGGGCAAAATGGGGGTCACTGGTGATCTTCTTGACTCACTAGCCAGTTTGAGCAGAGCCATCACTGGTCGTGTGGGAGAGGCAGGACAGGCCAGATGCTGGAAGAGTCTTGGCTGTGCACAGCTCTACTGGAGGAGAAAAGCTGTGCTTTATATGAGCAGCATGATTCTATTAAACTCTTACCTTCCAGTCTCATTTGGGCTAAACAGAAACTTCATGGTAGAAAAGCTTATTTATCTTTTCTCAGCACCTGGACAGGTATGTGACTGACATGCTCGCATGGACAGCGGGGGAGACTGGAACCTGAGCATACGGTTACTGTGGTAGATAGATCAGTGTCACATACAGACAGCGCACTTATTCATGTGCAGCCTGATGAAGTAACCAAAATAGACTCCTGCTGTTATGTTACCCAAGTTTTAGAGTGAAGTGTGGCTCTTTCCATTTATGTGCCATTTTTCACACTCCTTTTAGTTTTTATTATATGCAAGCATATTTATTTTAGGGGGCAGGGTGGGAAACCAAAGCTTAAAGGAAGCCTTGGTGATATAAAGTTCAAAACTTGGAACAGTAGCTTTCCCAGTAGCTGTGGTCCTCAGTATTGCAAGTATGTCCTGAAAACTACCTTTAATCCTTTCTTGTAACTATGGAACACACCAACACTTGTGATTTCCTCTAGAGAATAGGTTCAGGACAGGAGGCCTATTTCAGTTTTTATTTAATATACTTCTGTATTGGTAAGACTACCTTAACAACTTGTATTTGTTCTTTGGTTGTGCTTTGGATGAATATAGCTTATTCCAGGTGATTCCTTTACATACACTGAACAACACTGGTTAGTATAAAAATGAAAACTGCATTAATTTCTGGAATAACTACTTATACTGTTTTGCTTTTGCTTTGCCAGGGTGAGTTCTGCATCCTGGTACTTCCTTAATGTATTTGGGCTTCGGAGCATTTACTCTCTGATTTTGGGCCAAGATAATGGTAAGAAGTATGTCAGGTGTAATGAGCAAATACTTCAATAGATGAATCATCCATGCTAGAGCCAGAAAAGTCACGTAGGTTATGCTGTTCGTTAGCATAGTCAAATACGGTGCTCTGTTCCTTAAGTTTCTGAGGTTTCTGAAAGAGTCTTAAAAATTCCAGGGATCAAACTGAAGATCTAAATTCTCCCTGGCAATCACTGGGACAGTATTGATTCCCTGAAGCCTGATACATTCATGTGAAGGATCCAGTACTAGTAATATAAGCCTGTAAATGTAAAGCTTCAACTAACCGGTTTGATCAGTTAGTTCATTGACTAGAGTCCTTTCCAGTACTAATCCTGGCTCACTTACTTAAATGGCTGGGACCTCTGACAAGTTACTTCACCACTCTAATCTTCTGTTTGCTTATCTGTAAATAGAGACGTTATTAATTAACATGTGGAGGGACTAGGAGTGGAAGAGGTAGGATATGCAAAGCACTTAGTGAAGTACCTGACATGTAGTAGTTGCTTAGTAACTGGTGGCTACCGTTAGTATTGTTGAAATTTGAAATAAAATAAGATTTAGAGCTTTCTTTAGTTATCTGTCTTCTGCTATTATCACCCCCATTTTTCAGGAGCGATAAAGTGACTTTCCCAGGGTCACATAGCCAGCAGGTGACAGGGCCAGTCAGTGAACCTGTCATTTGAGTCTCTAACCTACCACCGAGCAGCTCTAAGTGCTGTGTGAGGCCTAGTCGTCTCCTAGGGTGCTTGCTGAGCCCTGGCACTCACGTAAGCGTGTCTTATGCTATAGCTGCTGACCAATCACGAATGATGCAGGAGCAGATGACTGGAGCAGCCATGGCCATGCCCGCAGATACCAACAAAGCTTTCAAGGTACACTCCATTCACCTTCTAGAGCTACAGTGAGGCTGTGAAAGGTGTTACCAGAGAGTTACTTTAAAAATCAATTCCCTGCAGTGAGGGCAATGTGGTTCTATCACTTGAATTTAAATTTAGCAAAAATAGGGCCAGGTGCAGCGACTCACCTGTAATCCTAACACCTTTTGGGGCCAAGGTGGGAGGATTGCTTGAGGCCAGGAGTTTGAGACCAGCCTGAGCAATATAGCAAGACCCCGTATCTACATAAAATAAAAAAATTAGCTGGGCATAGTGGTGCACACCTATAGTGACAGATACTCGGGAGGCTGAGGCAGGAGGATCACTTGAGCCTGCAGTGAGCTATGATATGCCACTGCACTCTAGTCTGGGCAAAAGAGTGAAACCCTGTCTCAAAAAAAAAAAAAAAAGACCTAAGTAAATGAAAAGATATCCGTGTTCTTGGACTGGAAGACTTAGACATTTCTCCAAAGAAGATATACAAATACCCAATGAGGACATGAAAAGATGCTCAACGTCATTAGCTTTCTGAGAAATGCAAATCAAAACCACAGTGAGATACCACTTCATGCTCACTCAGATGGTTATAATCAAAAAGATAGAGAATAACAAGTGTTGGTAAGGATGTGGAGAAATGGGAACCCTCATATGTAGTTACCGTATTACCCAGCATTTCCACTCTTAGCTTAGGTAAATATCCGAGAGAATTGAAAACATGTCCACACAGAAACTCCCATGAGAATGTTCAGAACACCATCTATAATAGTCAAAAGGTAAAAATAACCCATGTGTCCATCATCTGATCAGTGGATAAACAAAATGGAATATTTGGGAATATATGTACAATGGAATATTCAGCTATATTCAGAAATGAAGTACTGAATCATGCTACAACAGGGATGAACCTTGAAAACACACTAAGTGAAAGAAAACAAGAACAAGAGACCACATATGTCCAAAATGGTGAAGAAAATACACAGAAAATAAAGTAGTGGTTGCCAGGGGTTGGGGGAAGCAAGTAGTGGGAACTGTCTACTGTTTGGTATGGGGTTTCTTTTTGTGGCGATGAAAGTGTTCTGGAATTAGATAGTGGTGATGGTTATATGTATTTGTGAATATACTAAAATCCATTAAATTGTACACATTAAATGGATGAATTTTATGGTGTGTGAGTTAGATCTCAAAAAAACCACACTCGTGAGTTAATATTTATATTGCGCATTAAATTTCATAAGGCATTTTTATTTTTTAGAGACCAAGTCTCACTTATGTTGCCAGGCTGGTCTCAAACTCCTGGGCTCAAGTGATCCTCCGGCCTCAGCCTCCTGAGTAGCCGGGACTACAGGCATATGTCCAGCTCATAAAGCACTTTTTAAGAACCCACTAATTTAAGGCAAAAGTAGATTAATAGAATTTTTTTCTGCTTAACATATTAATGGCCTACATGCAAATGATTATATGCCAAAACAGTTTATATTTCACACTGTCAGAGTCTTCCAGTGATGAAATCATCAATTACTGGGCTCCAACAGACTATAATGAAATGCCGTCATGTATTTGGAGATAGGTTGGAGGAAATGTTCTTTGGCCCATTGAAAATATTCTCTGCCATTTACATCAAAGCATCTTTGACCCTGTGCAACTTAAACCAGATGACAAGTCCCTTGATGAAAGGGCTCAGAATCACAAAGCACTGGTTTGTCTATCGTATGCCTCTTAAGGGTAGTGTGGGCACAAAGCAGGTGCTTAGTGAGGGTGAGCTGATAAACAGGTTAGGCACTAGGGATTTGGAGTCAGACGAACCAAAATTTAAATCTCAGCTCCAGTAGTTACTAGCGCTAGTGACCTTGAACAAATTGTTTGACCTCTCTTAGCCTCGGTCTCCTTATGTCTAAATTGAGGAGGAGGGGGGAGAAGGAACCGGGAAGGGTGGGGGGGTAGCAGCATCATAGGATTGAATGAGCTTATGCATGTAAATAGCTTACCCTGGCTTCTGGCCCAGGGTAGCTGATGAGTAAAGGGTCAGCCACAACAGTCAGTAACAAGCCCCTCTCCCCCTGCCCTGGTGTTCTCTTCCTTTGCAGACAGAGTGGGAAGCTTTGGAGCTGACAGATCACCAGTGGGCACTAGATGATGTCGAAGAGGAGCTCATGGCCAAAGACCTCCACTTCGAAGGCATGTTCAAAAAGGAATTACAGACCTCTATTTTTTGAAGACGGAGCAGGGACTAGCTGTGTCAGGAACTTGGAGTAGCACTTAACCTTGTAACTTTCATTGGAGCTGGCGCCTCTCAGAATAAAAACGAGGGCGCAAGAGCTGGCGGGTGTGCAGCAAGGCTTGTTCTTGTCTGAGCAGGGTTCCCCTTTATGTTTGAAACCAGAAGAAATAGGAGGAGTATGCTGGGTGACTTGCAATTTAAAAAATGTTTTCACTGTTCCTTCTGGTTACTCTTGTAATGAAAGTCAGAGAAAGGGGGAAAACTCAAGCTACTAATAATATATAAAATCTTAGCCAAAATTCAGTCTTTGGAAGAAGGACTGTTATTAGAATAACCAATTATTATGTGCAGTCAGCTTGACATCTAGCCACAGTAAACTCCTGTTTTCTTGGGATCCATACACCCTGTGTTTTACCTTTAATTTTTTGTTAGTATTTTTAACTTTCTTTACAAAAGTAGAATATTTTCACTACCAAAAGTTTAGAAACTATGGATGAGCAAAATGAATCTCCCTGTATTGTTCCTTCTGAGCCTACAGAATGACACAGAGCAAATGTGTCAAACCTTATCCACATAAACTCTTTCCAGAGTGAATACCGCAGGCCAGGACAGACTTAGCAAACCTACATCTCTTAATACTATCCAGTGAAAACCAGTGACCCTGAGGCACTGCCGGATTCTCAAGTGCCTTTGGGATCATTGAAGACGGGTTAAATAACGCGCGGTCTTGATCTGGACATCAGAATATATGAAATCCATTGACAAATCAGTGGTGCTGTACTGTAAATGGCAACTCAGTTGGACAAAAGGCCTTATTTTCTGGGCAAAAGAGAGTTTACATATCACTGTAAAAAGGAGAGAGGGCAGTTACTAGCAGACAGATAAGGGTGCCCAGGAATAATTCTGTATGGATTAACAGGGAAGTGACAGGGTGCCATTTCTGTACCAAGAGGTGGATGTAATTTGCATGTTGAGCACTGTAATTAAGAACAAATGACTCTTGACTTTACAAATTAAACCATCCTGTTTTCTCTTCTTTGCCTGTGAAAGTGTTGCCTCGCGGGTCACTACCAGCCGTCTGCCAACAGTTACGAATGTCTGTCTTGAACCGGTGCTAGGGAGGCTAAGATGAAAGAGATGTGACACTTGCCCTCAAAGATCTCATAAGAGAAAGACCTTTGTTTTTTGAGGTCACAGAACCTCTCTGAGATTCTGATGGAAGCTCTGACCCTCCCCTCCAGAGTAGCATACATGGGTGCAGACACAGAGATTTCCTAGGTAACCCGGCTGCATAGACAAACCCTCTAAAGCCTATTCATAATGACCCACAGACCCAAGTTAAGAAACCCTTAAACCAAATATTTATGGAACCAAGGGTTCACAGGGGAGCTAAATTTTGACCCAGGCCTTGAAAGACTTTTTCATTGTAGGACATTACAAGTAGAGGGAACAGAATCAGCAAAGGTCCACAAATTAAAATGTCCACAATTGTTTGCATTCCAAGAGGTGGGGGTTAGTATAGTGTATGAACTGCAAAAGGTCCAGATTGGGCAGGAATACAACTGGTAATTGGTGATTGAGTGATATCACCCTTGTTCCTATGCATCAGAGCATTTGCCTCTTCACCCATACAAGGTTTGTCTTCTTCCTGTGTAGCAAAGTTGGGTGGTTAATGTGTGTGTGAGACTTTCTGACCCATCACAGTAGTGGTAAATGCACACACGTGTCCTTGGCACCAGCAGATTAAAGGGGAAAGGCAAGTTTGTTTTAGTAGGCTTTTCCCAGAACCAACACACAGGTTCAGGGAGCAATGCTTGTTATGTGTATGTTTCTTGGGGTTCAGTTTGGGCCAGGCTATAAATGAGCATTTTACCTTTTCCATCAACCTGGATTTATCACCTGAAACTATTTAGAACACCATAAATATCCACTTAATGATCATGCTATGTAAAATAACACGCAAGGAAAGCTACATAACACAACTCAGAAAAATGGCAACTTGGCTGGGCACGGTGGCTCACACCTGTAATCCTAGCACTCGGGAGGCCAAGGCGGGTGGATTGTTTGAGCTCAGGAGTTCGAAACCAGCCTGAGCAAGAGTGAGACCCCCTCTCTACTAAAAATAGAAAGAAATTAATCAGACAACTAAAAATATATAGAAAAAATGAGCCGGGCATGGTGGCGCATGCCTGTAGTCCCAGCTACTCAGGAGGCTGAGGCAGAAGGATCACTTGAGCCCAGGAGTTTGAGGTTGCTGTGAGCTAGGCTGACGCCACGCACTCACTCTAGCCCGGGCAAAAGAGTGAGACTCTGTCTCAAAAAAAAAAAAAAAATGACAACTTATTCTTTCTCTGAGGTAGATTAGAGGAAAAAAGAATAATGACAACCTAGATTTGAGGACAGTAGGTCAACGTGCACTTAGGGCAAAAGTCAGCTCAGTTTCTCTAGTCTTTAAGGTATATGATGGGCATGCGTGTATGTGAAAGACAGAGTATTACTGACTGGGTTAGGAATGTTGCAGTTGCAGGTGACAGAAATTGAACTCGACTGAAGCAATTAAAAACGAATGTAAATTGACTCAACTATTAACAAAATGTCCACTGGGTCAGTTGGCTTCAGGCACAGCTGGATCCAGGGCCTCAAATGATGTCATCAGGACTCAGTTGCTTTCTCAAGTCTGCTTTCTTCTCTTCTTGGGCAATCTGTCTTCTCATGAAGACACCAGTTTAGTATCCCCAGTGGAAAGAAAAAACCCATTTTAAAAAAATTCTAGCAAAACTCACAATTGCATCTAATTGATCTGGGTCGTGTACAAATTCCAAGAGCTGCTTAGCCTCTCCTAAATAAACTATAAGGACTGAGGTAGGATAGGGGTGATTCCCCAAAGGAAAACTGGGGCGGGATACTGTTGCCAGAAGAAAGTGGCATAGGGCCAGGCATAGTGGCTCACACTTGTAAACCCAGCATTTTCAGAGCCCGAAGTGGGAGTCTCACCTGAGGCCAGGAGTTCGAGACCAGTCTGGGCAACATAGCGAGACCCTGTCTCTACAAAAAGTAAAAATGTGGACCAGGCGGGCCAGGTACAATGGCTCACACCTATAATCCCAGCACTTTGGAAGGGCAAGGTAGGAGGATTGCTTGATGCCCGGAGTTCAAGACCACCCTGGGGAACATAGTGAGCCCTTCTCTCTACAAAAAAATTTAAAAATTAGCCATGTGGGGTGGTGCATTCCTGTATTCCTAGCTACTTGATAGGCTGAGCCAGGAGGATCGCTTGAGCCCAGGAGCTGGAGGTTACAGTGAGCTATAATTCGGCCACATACTCCAATCTGGGCAACAGAGTGACATCCTGTCTCTCAAAAAAAAAAAAAAAAAGTGGCATGGGTACCAGACAAGAAAAAGCAATACTGTTTTACCTTTTGATCACCCAGACTGTCTGGAATGTTCCCAAAAGGAAGTACTGCCCCTGTTCTTGGAGGTAATGCAGTCTGCAAACATTTACTGGTTTTCTACAATGTACTCAGTGCCATGCTAGATATTTTCAGGTCTTTCTGTTCATTCAACAAATAATGAATGTTTGTTACCAGGCACTGCACACAAACAAAATACTCTCACAGACCTTAAAAGCTCAGACTTATGCTGCATACAGAGCCCAAGGCAGGAGGATTGCTTGAGCTCAAGAGTTCAAGACCAGCCTGAGCAAGAGTAAGACCCTATCTCTACTAAAAATAGAAAAATTAGCCGGGTGTTATGGCACACACCTGTAGTCCCAGCTACTGCAGAGGCTGAGGCAGGAGGAACCCTTGAGTCCAGGAGTTTGAGGTTGCTGTGAGCCATGATGATGCCACTTCACCCTACCCAGGGTGACAGATCAAGACTCTGTCTCAAGCAATCAATCAATAATAAGTAAGTAAGTAACTCAGACTTCTGTGTTACATGCCATGACAGGGACGATCCTTGGGAGGCTGTAGAAACATCCTGCAGGTCATCTAACTAACCTGCATGGTCAGGGAAGGCTTCCCGACAGAAGTGTCATCTCAGTTAAGATGTGGTGGGTCACAAGGAATTTGCCAGAGAAATACACAAGGAAAGACTGCCAGGCAGAGGCAACAGTGTGTGCAAAGTCTCAAAGGTAGTGGTGTTTTCATGGAATCGAAACAAGACCTGCATGATGCTGAAGGTGTAGAATATAAAGAGACATTGATGAGCAGTGGAGGGTACACTCTAATGGGTGAATAGTTTGCGACATGAATAAAGCTCAATAAAGCTGCCTCAGAAAACAGATGTAAGGAGGCAGCCAGGGCCAGATGGCAGGGGAGCTTGGAAGTCATCCCTCAGAGGCAGAACTAGATCCTGACGGTGACAGCAAGGAGCTTTTGCAGGAACTGACATGAAAGGACTTGCCGCTGGGCAGCGAATGACATGGAGGGGCAGAAGTGGGTATGGAGAGTGCTGGAGCAAGAGCGAGATGGTAGTGAGGTCGGAGAGGGGCATGACATTGAGGCCATGTAGGTGATGAGCTCCTGCTTTCTCACACTCAGCTGCGTAGCTTTGCATGTGACACTTGCCCTCCCTGGGCTTCAGTCTCCCAATCTGTAAAAATGGGACCAAATGGTGCAGGCGCTTTGGAAAAATGTGGCTGGTCCTCAAAGTTTAAACATGAAGTTTCCATATAACCCAGCAATTCCACTCCTAGGTAGATATACATACCCAGGAGAAATGAAAAGATGTGTCCACACAAAAACATATACACGAATATTCATAGCAGCTTTATTTATAATAGCCACAAAGTGCGAAACAACCCGAATGTCCGTCAGCTATAATGAATGGATAAGTAAAATATGGTATATCCATACAATGGAATATCATTCAGTGATAAAAGGAGTGAAATACTGATGCTACAACACAGATGAACCTTGAAACATTATACTAAGAGAAAGAATCCAATCTCAGTAGACCACATATATGTTCCCATTTTTAATGAAATGTCCAGAACAGGTGAATCCACAGAAAAAGAAGACAGATTCATGGTTGCAGAGCTTAGGGGAAGAAAGAATAGGAAGTAATTGCTAGTGGGTGTGGGTTTCTCCCTGGGGTAATGAAAATGTTCTAAAACTGAATGTGGCGATCGTCGCCCAACTGTGATATACTCGAAACCACTGAATAGTACACTTTCAGTAGGTGACTTATAGTATGTGGATCCAATCTCAAAGCTGTTTAAAAGGAAGTAGGAGTAGGGAAGGGCCATAAATAAACCCTCAGCAGCTGGCATCAAGGTCTCTGGTGATCATGGCCAGGAGAGGCTCTTGTTGGCTATCCCAGACTACGAATGGAAGGTATTGGGGGAGATACCTGCAACTGCCAGGGGGTCAGCCAGCGTGTTGCCAAGCCTCATGCGCTGTAGCCTCCAGCCCTGCCATCCCTCCTGCTGGCCCTGCTCCCACCTTGGCCCCCACCTCCCCGTCTTCTCTTCAACTCTCTCAGCTCCTCTACCTCACTGGGTCAGCCTGGGAAGATCAGCGGAGCTCAGAAACCTGGGTCCAGTAGCAGTGCCCCTTCCAAGATGGGCAAGCACCTCATAAATAAAATGTTTTGTTCCTGCAACCCGCTCACAGAATAGTTGAGCCAGCCCTGTGCAACCTTTTCCTTTCTCCTGTTTCTTTGTGAATCTTTTTCATTTGTAATGTTTTATTACGAAAAATTTCAAACATACACAAGAGTGAAGAGGATAGTATAATGAAATCCCATGTGGCCATCACCTTGTTTCAATAATTGTCAACGTTTTGCCAATATTTTTAAGTGTATGTCCCAAACCCATTTTTTTTTGAGGGGTTGAAATATTTTACAAGTAAATCCGGCCAAGGTGGGAGGATCACTTGAGGCCAGGAGTTTGAGACCAGCCTAAGCAGCATCGTGAGACCCCATCTCTACAAAAAATAAGAAAAAATAAGCCGGGAGTGTTGGCACACACATGTAGTCCCAGCTACTTGGGAAGCTGAGGCATGAGGATCACTTGAGTTTGGGGTTGTAGTGAGCTATGATGATGCCACTGCACTCCATCTTGGACAACAGAGGGAGACCCTGTCTCAAAAAAAGGAAAAGAACAAAAAGGAACCATTGATTTTAAAGGAGGCATCAGATTTATAACCAAAAAAAGAAAACTTTTTTAAAAGATCAGGTTTGTTTAGTTGGTATTGGTGGAGGGTTAACCCTGAGAAAGGGTTAAGACTCCAGGAACCCTTAAGGTTTAATTTGGCCAGTTTAATAAAAAAATATAATTTCCTGTGCCCTCAGAGTTCAGGATAGTGAGCAAAACACAGACAAGGTTCGCCAGCCTGCACCATCTCCCACCTGTTCTGCCTTTTGTTTATTTGCTCGTGCCTGCCAGAGGGACCAGCCAGAACAAAAATGCCAGCCAACTATCCTGGATATTGTCTAAGCAGAAGAATTCATCATTGCCAGCCATATCTCCTTTGCCTTTTTCTTCTCTCCCTCTTTCCTTGGGAACTTCCAAGGTACTTTCTGGTCAGAGATCCTACCAACTCCTCAGTTCTACTGGTTTGAAGTCCTTTCAACAGAGATCCAAATTGGAGGGCCGATTTTCATAGACTGAATTAACTCCTAGCACATCAGGCGCTACCTGGAAGCCCTGGGGTTTCCATCTCCCCTTCTCTCCTCTCCGAAGTTCTTCCAGAGGGGCAGGAGGGTGTCCTCAGTATTAAGAGCACTGGTTCTGAAGTCAGACTTGTGGCTTGGCCTCTTGGTTGCTGTGTGACCTTTAACGAGTTATTTAACCTCTCTGAGCTTCAGCTAGCCATCTGTAAAATGAAGAACACAATACGTATGGTTGTTGTGAGGACTTAAAAAGAATAATGTGCGTACAATGTGTAGCATAGCTCTTGACAGACTAAGTGCTTGGTAAACAGGAGACATCGACCACCCCTTGTATACTTGGAATCATCCCCCACTTATCTAACCCACCATCCCAGAGCATCCAGGATGGTACTGAGAGCTCCCTCTGGGGCCGAGATACTCCCCACCTACACCTGGCGCCTCATGTTCCCCACTTACGCTCACCTCCACCCCAGCCAGTCTTCTCTTTCCATAGGATCAGCTTGCATCTTGGCCTCTGGCCAAAGGGATCCTAATCTGTCTTGCTTTGTCTGGCATCTCAGAACCCCTGCCAGTTGGTGGTTTGGAAATACGATGGGATGGGAGCTCCTGGCTCCAAAGAGGACAGCCAGCAAGCAGCCAGATGGTCCTGTGTGGACTGGGGGTCAGGCACACACACACCAGCCTTCCTCAGGAGAAACGGAGGAGGGGAACAAGGCCAGCTCTGAGCCTGCTGCAGAAATCTCAACGTCTTCAAAGGCGGCTCGCCAGGGAGTTCACAAGGAGCAGTGAGAGGAGGGATCTGGACCCCTCAGCTTCGCTAGTGGGCCCCTAGGACTGCCTCCCACCAAAACTGCCCACAGGGGAAAAGAGGTAGGTCCCCCAAAGGAAATTAGGATGCTGTCAGGAAGGGGATTGGACATCGAACAGTCCCCCAAAATACCAGTTATCTATTATACATAGAATAGGATCCAGATAACTTCTCACAAGATTAGAACAACCGTGGGAGGCTGAGGTAGGAGGATGGCTTATGCCCAAGATTTCAAGGCTGCAATGGGCTATGATTGTGCCACTGCACTCCAGTCTGGGCGACAGAGTGAAACCGTCTCTAAAAAAAAAAAAACAACACTGTATCTAACAAGACAAAATAAACAAACAACAAATGTATTAATAGAATCCTACATTGAGGGTCAAGAAACCAACTGCACACAAAAAGATGGGAAGACCTAGTTGTAAATCAATTGGGTAGCAAAGCGATGTGGCTGCCAGAAAGGTTAATTTAGTGTGAGGTCATATTAATGGAGGAGTAGAATCTAGGAAAGGGGAGATGAAAATTCATCTTTATTCCCAACTCCAACTGGGTTCATTTCCAAGAGTTACACTCTAAGAGGGACATTGTTAAGCTGTTAAGAAGCAAACAGGAGAAGTGCCACAATGGTGAGACCCAAGAATCCTGGCCTACAAGGAAAGGCTGAAAAACTGGGGCTCTTTGGCCTACAGGAAGAAGACTGCAGAGAAGTAAGAGACGCCTTCACAATTCTGACAAGGCTCCAACAAAGAAAACAGTAGGACTGGTCAGATGATATGGTGAATGGGAAAAGCCTGCACTCGCTCCCAGAGTCAGCGGAGCTGGGTGCAGACCCCACCGTCTTCCAGCCATTAGGGACTGAACATTCTTCAAACTGCAGCATGTCAGACACAGCTGGAGTCTGGGTATTGCTTTTCTGTGAGAGCCAGAGGTGGGAAATCACTGGGAGGGAGATTTCTGTTGAACCCTGCAAAGAATTTTCTTTTTCTCTTTTTTAGGTGATATTTATTATTCTTACTTCTGATCGCAAAAGAAATACAGGGTGTATAGAATATTAGTAAACAGAAAGAGCAAAATTAGGTAAAAATCACAAAAGCCACAACTTACCTTCTAATACTTAGGTATAGGATGAATGGATAAATAGATACATAGATACTAACAAAATGGGATCATACAAATAATTATCTTAGAGAATTCAGAGTATCAGTGTGTGAGAATGTACATCTTGGCATATCAGAACGTTTACCCCAGTATTGTTTCCAGTAGGAAAAAAGCTGTAAACCACCTGGTTATCCATCAATAGGGGAACACTGGGAATGTCGGTGTGCCTGACGATGCATTCACACTATGCAATCCTGTGCAGCTGGTTGAAAGAAGAGCGTCTAGCTAATACGTATGGCCTTCAAAATGTTTCCAACATATATATCTTTTAGGGCAAAACAGTGTTACAGAATAATATGCATAATGCGATCCCATTTTTGTAAAAAATATGAATGCACATATATGTTTTTATAAGCAAAGGAAACAGGATGATGTTAACAGTGGGTACATCTGGGAGGCAGAGTTGGAGAGGCCAAGAGTAAGACAAATTAACTTGTTCTTTGAAGATTTCTGCGTTGCATACATTGAGATAATCAGCGTATATTATTTTTATAATTCAAAGGACTAAAACTTAAATTACAATCTACATGGGAAATTTCTCCGTGCCACTGAAGATTCTACATCATTTCTAATGACCACGTGTATTCCTCGTGTGGATTTCCCTTAATGGATTGAGCCTAATGATGGCCGTTTAGTATGTCAGAAGTTGTTCAAAGAGGGACCAGGGGCATTTTGACAGTGTCTATCAGATCTGAAAATGTGCAGACCCATAGATCTTACCATGCCTCAGCTAGGAAATTATCTAACAGGTACACTATGGCCTAGTGCACAAAGATGTCTATGTAAGAATGGCCCCTGCCCCATTACTTCTGCCAGCAAAAGGCTAGAAACACCCTGTGCCCAACCACAGGGCACAGGATAAAGAAAAATTACCAGCTGACAATATGCTGGAATTCTCAACAACAGATACGAGAAATGAGGAAGATGTGTAGATACTTACATGGACAACGTGCCAGGATACACTGTGAAGTGAAGAGAAAACAAGACAAATTATAGAAACAGCATGCACAGTATGACCTCATTTCCGTTTAATATGTATACGTACTTGTGCATTGAAAAATGTCTAAAGAATACACATCAGGCTGTAGGTAGGGTTTAGGTAAAAGGATATAGGTATATGGGTATAAAGGAAGCGAGCTTCCCGTCCGGTGAGGTATGCAAGCAGAGACTGGCTGCCGGTGTTCAGGGATGCTACAGAAGGGATTTCCACATCCCCCGGAGGTGACCCCGGCGCCGCTCTTAGCCCTGAGAATCCCTGAGCCAGAGGAGGTCAGGACTGGAAGAGTCCACCCCTCGGGAAAGAGTTAAGCGGGGCTGGCGCTCCTGTGGGCGGGCTCGCCGATCGGCAGCGCCGGGCTCGGTTAGCTAAGTCTGAGCATCGCGGAGGATGCGGCGCGGCGAGCGGCTGCAGGGACGCGCGCAAGGTGAACGCCGGGGCTGCGGCGCCCAGGTGAGCAGCCGGCCCAGGGAGGGGGCGATGGCGGAACCCAGGCGGGGAGCATGGCCTGCTGCCCACTTCGCTGGCGCGGGGCACAGGCCCGCACGGCTCCCACCCCCACCTGGGACACTGCGGGAAGGCGCGGAGCCAGGGAGAGAGGAGACGGAGGAGGAGAAGGAGGAGGAGGAGGAGGAGGAGAGGTAACCCGAGATGGACCAGCTCCTGGAGGCTGCCCTGCGGCGGCCCTCGCCCTCCCCCCAGGCCAGCCTCTCCCCAGTCCCTGCGGCAGAGAAATCCCCCCAACCCCCAAAATCTCTCCGGCAGTGGGATCCCAGGGCTGGGCCAGCCTCCGCCTTGTCCGCAGGTGCCCACATCTCTTGGACCGGGTGTGGGCAGATGTTATGTTTATCATTGAAGGCCCAACTCAACCATCTCGTCTGCGAGGCTTTTCGGCCCCCGTGCAAGATGAACCTCTGTGGGCTTCACAACCCCCCTAGTGTGTCCACTCAGCTGGCTGTGTGATCATAGGCGAGTTGCTCAACCTCTCTGAACCTCGGTTTCCTCCCCTGTGAAATTGGGTAAACCCACACCTGCTTATATTGGGAGGAGGGTCCAATGACATGTAGCTAAGATTAGCACAGGAGCCTAACCGGATAAGAGGTCAACGCTGGAGCACTGTTGTTAACCAATAACCATGTTAGGGCTCTCTCAGTCCTTCCCTCTCAGCTCACTCCTGCTCCCAACGCTAGAGCTGAGGCCTCTCTATGGGTTCCCAGCACCTAGCCTGAGCAGACCATGAGGCTGGGTGAATGTTCGAGAAATGAACTAACAAGGCTTTAAGGCAGAGTTTAAACTTGGGTTGAGGGGATAATCCTAAGAGGCCTTTGAATCCCTTGAAATTGTCCACAATGTGAGCTTGTGCGTTTTCCTGGGGAGAGCAGCTGGAGTTTTCAGTGGCTTCTCAAGGTGCCTGTGAGCCACCAGGGGTCAAGACCCAGGAAGCTTTGGGGACAGCTGCTTCCCAGAGAGGAAAAGAGTAGGGCCTCTGCCCCCAAACACACCCAGGCCTCAGCTCTCGCAGCCACTGTGCCCCTTCTCCTGGCTATGGGGGTCACTTCTTGCCTCCCCAGCCCACTTAAGGACTCTCTAGCACAGGAAGCTTTAGGGAATATCCACATGGGGCCACGTATATGCAGGGGGCTGGAGGTTGGAAATGAAAGAGGCAGGAGCCCCAGGCCAGTGGAGGAGACGGGAGATTATTACACATGTGACCAGGGTGACCAGTGCCCAAGAGGGTTAGGGGAGGAAGGCTTCCTGGCAGAGGAATGTCTAAGCTGAAACAAGCCACCATCATATCTTACCTGGGTGTTTGCACTGGCCTCTCTCTCCCCTTTTTGAAACACTAATGGGACCTTGTCATTCCATGTTTTCCATCTTCAGTGGCTCCCTGTGGCATGTAGAATAAAATCCAGGCTTCATTGTGGCATGCAAGTCCCCTCGTGCTCTAGCCTCTGACTTCCTGATTTCATCTCCCACTACTTTCTCCCTTGTCTGCAGTGCTCCAGTCGCACTAGTGTGCTTAGTTCTTGCACTCACCTAGCTCATGACTGCTCCACGGCCTTTGCACTTGTTCCCTCTGCCAAATGCTTTTCCCCCAAATCTTCAAATGGCTGGCTCCTTATTCAGCATTTAGCTTAAATGTGACCTCAGAGAGAGCTTCCTGGCACCTCCTGTGTAAATAGCCTCTCATTCCTCTATCTCTTTTTTTTTTTTGAGACAGAGTCTCACTTTGTTGCCCTGGCTAGAGTGAGTGCCATGGCGTCAGCCTAGCTCACAGCAACCTCAGACTCCTGGGCTCAAGCAATCCTTCTGCCTCAGCCTCCCAAGTAGCTGGGACTACAGGTATGCGCCACCATGCCCGGCTAATTTTTTTCTATATATTTTTAGCTGCCCAATTAATTTCTTTCTATTTTTGGTAGAGACGGGGTCTCGCTCTTGCTCAGGCTGGTCTCGAACTCCTGAGCTCAAACAATCCGCCCACCTTGGCCTCCCAGAGTGCTAGGATTACAGGCGTGAGCCACCGCGCCCGGCTCATTCCTCTATCTCTTAACACTGTTTTATTTTCTAAATAGCTCACCTTATTTAAAATTCTTGATTGTCTGTCTCTTACCTAGAATGCCAGCTCCCTGAGGGCAGTCTTATCAGTCTGTTCACTGCTTCATCCCAAGGGCCTGGCACATAGTATGTGTTCACATTATTTGTGGAAATCCTTACGGGCAATGGGGAGAGAACGCTTTCTGGACCGTGGAAAAAGTACAATGGCTCCAGTGCTGATTAAACTCCTGGTGTGGACCTGGCCCGTGTGTGTTTTGTTACTTATGTCTTATAAGACTTCCTTGGGTCAGATACTCTTATTATCCCATTTTACTGATAGGAAAACCATGATGCAAAAAGGTAAAGTAACTCACCAAGGAAATGGAGAAGCTGGAATTCAAACTTAGGCCCCTCCTGAAAGGCAGGTGTACGTTCCTCTCCCTCTCCACTTCTCTCGTATTTGAACTGGGCCTTCAAGAATAGGATTTCAGCAAGGGAAGGAGAAGGGAGAGGGCGTTCTCAGTGGAGGGAACAGCAGCGCGAAGGCGTGGGGAGTTGGACAGTCCACTGGGTTTCAGTGGACAGGTGAGCAACTTGGTGTGGCCGTGGCCTTGGAAGGCCAGGAGAGGAGCTTGTGTTCTCTCCTGGGGACACTGGTGAGTCACTGAAGGTTTCGAAGCAGGGAATGTGGCATGAGCAGAGATGCAGTTTTAAAAGCAGGGGGGAAGCTGCTGTCTAGTGTCACTCTTCTTTCTTTTCCACCAGCCCCTCGGGGAAGCCATGGAAGCCCCCAACCCTGACATGTCATCCCTCTTTCCTTTTTTTTTAGGCTCATCCAGTGAGGACTGGAAGTTGAGGGCTCTAGGCCCAGGCATTGGTGTAGACCATGGCCCCCAGCCCATGGGGTCGTATGTGTGGCCTCTTGCTGCTGTTGCCATCCCTGGGGGCTGGCCCTGCCATGAACAGGGGCCTTCCCAAGCCACTTGAAGACTCAGAAACCTACCTGATCCCAAGAGCACACCCCAAGGGCCCTATGGGCTCAGAGCCCCAGACCTTTGACTTCTTCTGGAATAACCCCAGAGATGAGAGCCCCTGGGACTCCGATGTCCCCCACGCCCCTGCTGAAGAGATGTCTGCAAAGCCTGAAGATGCTGCCCTTGGTCCAGCCCTGCATGGACCCAAAGCAGTCCCTGGGGCTCAGAGAGAACGACTCCCAATAACTGATGACCTCCAGATGGCTCAAGGACCAAGCTCCCAGGGCTGGACAGGACCTCTGGACTCACAGGAGCCTCTGGAGCAAGAAGCACTGGCCCCACAACCCGTGGGGCCCCCCCATCTCACTGTCATCCCCACAACTCCCAGACTTCAACTCAAGGTGGCCACAGTTCCTCCTGCCCTGGAGCCTGGAGGCCAAGCAGGACAGCGACCACCTAGAGATGAGGGTCTGACGGCTAAAGCCAAGATCAGGGTCCCACACACCTCTCACTCTGGCCACCAGGGCCCTCCCCACACTCTTGTGACCCACTCAAGCACTGTCAAGAGGCCGATGCTGGAAGAACAGGGAGGGCAGGAGGAGGACTTGCAGCAGGCAGCACAAGGCCCCCCGTTCACCCAGCAGTATCCAGCAGCCCCCGAAGCTGGTACGGTATCTGCAGTTGAGGGGGCATCTTCTCAGGAGCCTGGGGCTCAGCCAGACTTGCCATTGGCCAGAAGCCTTCCTCCTACTGAAGAGCTGCCAGTTGAGCCCCCCAAAAAGGCAGGAGCTGGGGAGGCCTGGGAAGTCAGCTCCCCAGGTCCCCCGCCCAAGCAGGCCGGCCTCCCTGATGTTAAGGATTCACCAGGACCCCAGCCCACAGGTCCTCCTATCTCAGAGGCTCCGGATGGGCAGCCCAAGCCAGGTGGGTATCAAAGTGAGGGTGCTGAGCAGGGCTGGGAAGGTGCAATGTTCCACGGCAGCTGGGTGCCTCCGTTGTCTGGGTCCTCCTTCTGGGTCTCATTTTGCTCATTCTGGCAAATGAAGGTGATTGTCCCTCTGTTCCAAGGGATTGGATTTTGAGGACCGCAGGAGGATCTGGCAGGTGATGACTGCTTTTTTCATTTCAGAGATAGCAGAGATGAATGGAGCAGACCCCATCTCCCCCCAACGGGTGAGAGGAGCAATGGAGGCCCCAGGCACCCCCAAGTCCCTGATCCCTGGTCCTTTGGACCCTGGCCCAACTACAAACCAAACAGAGAGCCCTGTGGGGGCCCTGCAGCCAGGTGAGGGCATGGCTGGGGGTTGGGGAGAGGGAGTAGTCTGTCCAATAACTAACAACCTGTGTGAAGTATATATGGGGGGTAGCAGTGGGGAGCGAATGGGGACAAACAGCTGCTTAAAGGAATTGGCCAGGACATCCTTCAAACAATTTAGGATGATAAACTAATATTCACTGGGTACTTTGGGAAAAGTCATTTGCCCTTTTGGGGCTAGAATTTTCTTATGTGTAACGTGGATATATTTAGTGCAGTGATTCTCCAACTCTGGGGAATGGCCACATCCCAAGAAATTCTGATTCCTTAGTCTTCAGGTGATTCTAATATGCAGCGCGTGTAGGGAACTGCCAAGGTACTACTTCCCTGATGGGATCATTCATAAAAATGATAGCTCACATCCATTTAGGTCTTATTGGGTGCTGGGCACCATGCTAAACATTTCATCCTCTCCACAACCTAATCAGGTAGGTGCTGTTATCTCCATTTTGCACATGTGCTGAGAAAAGTTAAATAACTTGTCAGCCACACTTAAGAATGATGGAAAATCAAAAACTCTTTTCAAGGGGCTATTTTAATATTGTTATTATTGCAGATGAAGCCGAAGAGTGGCCGGGGCGCCCCCAAAGCCATCCCCCAGCACCCCCAGTCCAGGCCCCCTCAACGTCTCGCCGGGGCCTCATTCGAGTTACCACGCAGCGAGCCCTGGGCCAGCCTCCCCCTCCAGAGCCCTCAGCCAGCTCCACGGCTTCAGCCCCAGCCTCTAGCCCCCCAGCCAACGCCACCGCACCCCCACTGCGATGGGGACCCCTGCGGCGGGTGCTGAGCTTTTCCTGGGAGCTGCATGTCTACGGGGTGGGGGTGCTCTTTCTGCTGCCCGCGTTGTTGGCACTGGCTGCGCTGGCAGCAGCCCCGTCGGGGCCCCGGCTGGCACTGGTGGCCGCGGTGCTGGTGCTAGTAGCTTCGGGGCTGCGGTCCGCCTACATGCTCACGGACCCTTACGGCTCGCAGGCGCGGCTGGCCGTACGCGCCGGCCTAGTGCTCTACAACCTGCCCTTCCCCTTGCTACTCACGGCGCTGGCAGCCCTGACCCTGCTCGGCCTGGGCGCGGGGCTGCCACAGCCGCTGCAGAACCCGCTCCTGCTGGGAGCCTTGGCGCTGGCGCACGGCGTGGGGTTGCTCGCGGCAGACCTGCTGTCGGCTAGGCCTGCGATCAACCTCCTGGCGCAGGGCTTGTCGTGCGCTTGGGGCGCAACGGTGGCTCTGGGCACGCTCTGCCTGTGCCGTCGCCGCCTGCTGGATGGGTCGCGAGGCTGGGATGCCAGCCCGGGCCCGCGGTTGCTGGCCGTGGCGGGCGCGCTGGGGCTGCTGGCCAGCGGCTTGCAGCTGGCGGCCGCGCTCTGGCTGTACCCGGGCCCAGGCCGGGTGGGCCGCTTCTCGTGGGCCTGGTGGGGCGTCCACTTCTGGCTTCGGCTACTGGAGCTGACATGGGCACTCTCCCTGGCATTGGCCGCTTTGGCTGCCGTGCGACCCAGGCCGCCCACGGAGCACGCTTGCTGGGCTAAGCTGCTGCGCCTGGCGTGTCCCGCGCCATCGGGCAAGAGCGAGGTGCCTGAGCGCCCCAATAACTGCTACGCGGGGCCCAGTGGCGTTGGCGCAGGCAGCTTGGATATCAGCAAGAGCCTCATCCGCAACCCAGCGGAGAGTGGGCAGCTGGCCACGCCCAGTTCAGGCGCCTGGGGCTCAGCTGCGTCGCTGGGTCGCGGACCCCAGGGTGGCCCGGGACTGTCCCGCAGCAGCGTGGGGCCGGCGCCGTCGCTGAGCGAGCTGGATTTGCGGCCGCCGTCGCCCATCAATCTGAGCAGCAGCATCGACGCCGCGCTCTTCCGAGAGCACTTGGTACGAGACAGCGTTTTCCGGCGCTGCGGCCTGAGCGGCCTGGCCTCCCCGCCGCCTGGAGGCGCTCTGCGGCCGCGCCGGGGCAGCCACCCCGACTCCGAGCTCGACGGCGCAGGCTCTTCGCTCCTCCGCAGCCGCTGCAGATCACTCAACGACGTGCGCGTGCGCGGCCCGGTCCCACAGCACGTGGTGGACGAGCCCGACGGAGCGGCCGCGGCGGCGTCCGGCAGCTCCCTGGACAGCTTCTCCAGGGGCTCACTCAAGATCAGCTGGAACCCGTGGCGCCACGGGCTGTCGTCAGTGGACAGTCTACCGCTAGATGAGCTGCCCAGCACGGTGCAGCTACTGCCTGCCCCGACCCCAGCCCCTAACATTACCCCCGCTCAGCCCGGGGAGCCCCAGGGCGACGTCCAGCCGCGCTGCAAGTCTGGGGACTCCCGCAGCGCCTCCAGCGATACCATCGAACTCTGAAGGGTCCCAACGCAGGACTGGGACCCTGCCCTGGATGCCCACATAGCGTGGCCGACTGGGACAGTTGAGCGTTTGAAAAACTGGCATTCCCCGGCCTCCGCCTGACTGCAGCGCCCCCGGGGGACAGCTGGGTGTGAACCCACCCTACCACCACGCCCCGTTTTTTGTCTTTGTTTTTTTTAATACCCTATTTTTTTCAGCCGGTATTTTGCACACAGGCCGTGGCTTACGCGGAATACAGGGTGGACGTGCATGGATTTGGGCATGGGGAACTGGCAGCAGGTGCCCCAGACTCTCCAGTGGGGAGAGATGGGCCTCACGTGTCCAGATTGACTCTCCTCTCTGTGCCAAAGAAATAAACCCTTAGGACTTGGCTCATGCCTCGCTCTGGCCATGCCAGGATTCTGTACTCAATCAGAGATTGGAGGCCTCGCCCCTGAGTAATTCCAAGTCCTGTGTATACTGGGGAGGGGAGGACTTCCAGAGAAAATACTGCTTGACCCTTGGAGGCTTTGGAATAACGGCAACCAGTATCTTATCGAACATCTATCTGTCCTGCACTGATTAATTCTCACATTAAGTCTGCGTGGAAAGCATTATCAGGCCCATTTTAGGAATGAGAAAAGTGGCGTTCAGAGGCAAAAGTCCAGGGTCCTTTGACAAATGACAGATGGTATCAAACCCAGAAACTTCCACTCCTAAGGCCAGTTTCTCTATCCCCCTTCTCCTAAAACTACTCCAGGGCCAACCCTCTCCTTTGTCTTCCCTCTGCTTCATTCTCCCCCACTCCTGTGTCAGGGCAGCACTCAATTTCCCAGGGTTTTAGAAAACTTCCCCAAGGTGGTAGTGGGACAGGTAGAAAGACAAACTTTTCAATTTTCCAATCTCTTTATTTCCTGAGATAAATAAATAAGTGGCGGGTGGGGATGGGGTGAATACAGAACAGGAGCTGGCAGCATGCAGCTGGCAGGAGGGGGCTGTGACGGCCCCACCCCTGTGGGGACCCCCTCATCCTGGATAGGGGCCAAAGCTCATTAGCAGCCACCATAAGGAGAAACTTTTCTTTTAAAATTCACACACTGTGAAGCCTGCCCAGTCCCCCCAGGCGAAGATCTCATGGTATCCACCTTCAGGGCTACTTTTTCACCCCAGGGGCCTCAGCTGCCCAGGCTTGGGTACCTGGGCTGCTCTGTAAGGCGGGTAGGGGGTGCTTATGCCCCTCTCAAAAATAAACCCAGCTGCCCTGAGTGTCCAGCAGGAGAGAGGCCCAACCTTGGAGCAGCCTGGGTGGGAGGAGATCCTGCAGGTGGTGGCAGGGATTATCTGCCCTTGATGAAGCCCTCCAGCACACGGTCACTGCGCTCCGACAACCAGTAGCCAGTCATGGCCGCCACAGCCCCAATGAAAATGGCAGTGAACACCAAGTCTCCCTTGGCAGCCAGCGTGGCCAGTGCACAGATGATGACACCGAAGAACATCTGCTGTAGCACCACCAGCTCATCCTCCGTCATCTCCGAGAAGAAGCCCGCCGACTCTGCGGAGGAGCAAGAGACGCGGCCCGTTCACTCCTACCCGTTCCTGGCAGTTCCTGGAGCCTCCGCAGGACTCCCACACGCCTGCTCAGCACGCCAGGCACGCACATCGTTTACTGCTCAGAACAACACTGCAATAGGCAGTTATTGTCCCTCACTAAATGGGAAACTGAGGCTCAGAGGGATGAAGAGGTTGGACTCGCCAAGGCCATGCAGTGGGGGAGTCAGGGGCAGAGCATATATGGCATGTATTAGTCCAACTCCGGAGCCAGACTGCCTGGATCCAAATCCCAGCTCTGCAACCTGCTTCCCCTCTCTGCATCTTAGTTCCCGCACGTGTAAAATGGAGGTGAGAATAATACCTACTGCCCTGGGTTGTTTCAGGGGCTAAATAAATTAATGCACATATGTGCTTGGAACAGCGTCTGACAGTAGGAGCTGGGGAAGTGGTCCCTATCATCATTGTTGTGATTACCCTGCTCTCACCAGGCCAGGGTAAGGACTGGTCCCCTTGGACAGATGGGGAAACAGCCTTAGGGAGGCATATTGATTTGATGCCAAGTCTGATTCTCTTTCTACCCCGGGAAGCATGAGGCTGCCAAAAGCCAATCTGGAGATCAGGTCTCAGTGCAGCCTCTTGGGGGCTGGGTCTATAGCTGCTGCTGCTACCTGAAAAAGGGACTTGCCTGCCCTCCCCCCCTGGATGAGGACCTCCCCTCTCCCTTCTCCAGGGCTTACCTGGGATCTGCTGCTTCACGCAGATGCCCTCCATCTGTTTGTAGCCCTCAGCACAGACACAGCGGTAACCGCCCTCGGTGTTCTCACACTGCTCGTTCTCTCCAGGACACACCTCTGCCTCACACTCGTCCACATCTTGAGGGAGGGTGGGGAGGAGTCAGAGTCCTGACTGCCAGGGCCCCCCCATGCAGCACCCCTGACTCCTCAGTCACGTCCTGACACTGCCCCCTGCCCTTGCCCAGGCAACGTTCCACTTTGCCTTCCCCTACCCTGCCCATAGTCCAGCCCCCTCTTGATTTGTGGTGGGTAAGACACTCCCAGGTGCCTGTGACCCATTGATAGGAGACTTACCGAGACACTTGGAGCCCACCTGCTGGTAGCCAGGGCTACACTTCTTACAGCGGCCTGGCCCTGCCCCCATGCAGCCCAGGCAGGCCTTGGCACAATCTGGAGACGGGAGCAGAGAGATGAGGTAAGAGCTGCCCTGGGGCCTGGGGGAGTCAAGCTCCAGAAGAGGAGGTCCAGCAGGCCTGAGAAGGGGAATGTTGGAGGGATAGGTCACATCCCCTCCTCTGCAGAAGTGGACACTGACCTCGGCACTCATAGGAGCCCTCGGTGTTCACGCAGAACTGGTCGGCTCCGCAATTGGCTCGCTCTGTGCCACACTCATCAATGTCTGCAGAGAGGTAAGCAGGGTGGGAATTTCTATCCCTGTTTAATTAACAGGGAAGCTAAGGCAAGGGTTGGGGAATGGACTTGCCTAGGAGTAAATGATGTGGCAGAAGCTGCATGCTGCCCACCGACACAAAAGCAGAGGTGCAGCTGGACCTCAGGCTGTCCAGCCAGAGACTACATTTTCCAACCTGCCTTGCAGCTAAGTGTGGCCCTGTGATTGAGTTCTGGCCAACAGGGTGTAAACAGAAGTGATGTGCTCCACTTTTAGCTTGGCCTTAAGACAATGGGTTTGGCCTCTTCCCCTGCGCTTTCTTCTCCTTCTCACTTCCTGAGTGCTGGGACGTGGAACATAGGGGTGCCCATGACTCAGCCTCAACACGCAGACATCACCCAAAGGGGTGATTGTGCAGTAAGATAGGAAAAACCTGGGTCTCTGATTGTGACAAGCAGAGCTTCGCTGCCAGCATGGACCATTCACTTCAGGACTGTGATATGAGAAAAAAATAAACTTGTGGATTCTTTAAGCCACAGTCTTTGGGGGATCTTTCTGTTACGGCAGCTTAACCTTTACCCTAGTCTACGTAAGTGGCTAGGCAGGGACCAAACCAAGTATTGAACCCAGGTTTCCTGACCCCAACTTCAGTATCCTCATTCCCCTGGCCAACCCTTCTTCACTTTCCAAGACTTGGCCACAGTGACAACCTTCTCCAAGAAGCCTTTGCTGATCCCCCCCCCAGCAACTCCACTGCACTGGACCAGGGACATCTCTTGCGGTACACAGGGCAGTCTGTTCTGCAAAAGCCTGGTTGAGATCTCCACGAAGATGGGGACTGTGTTGCTCCAGCCCAGGTGTATGTCTTAAGGGAATGAGGGGCCAAGCCCAGGCCCCTGCCTGTCCTCCCCAGACCTAAGTAGGGCCCCACTCACCTACACACTTGAGGTGATGCAGGGCCCAGCCCTTCTTGCATTGCAAACAGTTTGATTCCTCAGGTCCTGAGCAGCGGGCACAGGGGCCAAAACAAGCTGGGTAGGATGGGGGCAGTATGAGGATGGGCAGGCAGGTACCCCATCTGCCCCTGCCCAGTGCCACACCCTTTGGCTACCTACCCGAACATACCAGATGGCTGGCATTGCGCTCCGCCTCAAAGTAGCCAAGACCGCACTGGCCACAGGCTTCACCCCCGTAGCCGGCTTGGCAGTCACAGTGCCCGCTGCCCCCTCGGGTCCCTTCCCCTTCACACTGCCCGTAGCCACCGCAGGGCCTCTCTGCACCCCCAGGACAGGCTATAGGAAGACACCAAACCGGGTGAGGTCTTATATACAACCTTGGCGTACAAGAGAGTATTTTCCACGTACTGTTAAACATTTTTGGAGAGGAAATGTTAATGACAACGTAATATTTGTATGAAGTTTACTTAATCAATTACCTATTGTGGAACAATTAGGTTATTTACAAATCTTTTCTTTCATAAAGACTGAATTGACCGTATTTGTAGCTAAACTCTACAAGTGCAGCTTCAGGAGAGGCTGTTTTAAAAGGGGCTGGTACTAAGTTCAGTTCCTGCCTCAGGACTGTGAGTGTGGGTGGATGATGACGATGGGGGCTTCGGGGCAGTACCCACCCCTCCCCAGGAAGGTAACTTAGTCTGACCCAGCATGGGAATGAAGGGGGGTCGGGGCGGCGGGTAACATTCCCCAATACCTGGCAATAACCACACCGCATCTGACTCAGCACAGCCCTGGTGCCTTTGTTCAAAGCCTTTCCCTATTGATTCGTTCATCTCACCAGCCCTGTGAGGCAGGCCGGAACTGAGGTCCAGAGGAGTGATCTTGGTAGCCTGAGCTCACACAGCCAGCTAGGGACAGAGCCAGGACTGGACCCCTGGCCAAAGAAGTCCCCTCCCATCCCCCAAGAAGACCTTTAAAAACTCACAGATTCTGAAAGGCATTTTTGTCAGAAATAACAATAACAAGAATAAGAATAAACAGACAAACAAACTCACGAAGGCAGGAGGGCCCGAAGGTGCCTGAGGGGCAGCAGAGCTTCAGGGAGTCTGAGCAGAGCCACTGGAAGAGATCCGGGGCCTCCTGCTGCCTGCGGCAGGGGCAGGGCGGAGGAGGGAGGAGAGGGCGTGCTGTGCAGTGTCAGAGGTGCTGCCCACCCCGCTACCCCACCAAATCTGTGATTCGACCAGTCTTGGGCATAAGACCCATAAGGCCACCTGACCAATGCCCTTTCCCCATTGGGCGGAGAGATAAACTGAGGCTCAGAGTAGGAGCTTGGGTACCCCAGCAAGTCCTTAGCAGATCTGGGTTTGGAAGGAGCTGAACCAGGACACAGCCCCCAGCATGTAACCCCCTGCTTCTTGGCCAAGCCAAGGCCTTATCACTGGACCCCGCATGTGACCCACCCCCAGGGAAGGCCCCCACGCTACTCACTTATGAAACCACCAGCTCTCCACCAGCTCCTCACTCAACTCCAACAGGCGGTGGCACTCGAAGTCCGACTTGCTGCACACGCCCTCGAGCACCTCTACCAGGCGGGTCTCACTGACGGGGACAGGGCAGGGGTGGTGGAAATACATTCCACCCCACCCTATCTCCTCGGGTCTCTCTCTTCACCCTTCCTCGTGCAGTGACAATATCAAAGGAGAGGCCATGGGGCATAATGGAAGGGATACTGGTTCTGGGAAGTAGACCGACCTGGGTTCAAATCTAGTTGTGTGACCTTGGGCAAGTCACTTAACCTCTGAACCTCTGTTTTCTCATCTGTAAAATGGGGACGACGATACCTCCCCTGCAGGTTTGTTGTAAGAGACCTCAGTTCCTGCATCTGAACAATGGAAAATAATACCCTTGCTGGGTAGGAATGATTAAAAATATATCATATAACAAGTGTTGGCAAGGATGTGGAGAAATTAGAACCCTCCTACATTGATGTGGGAATGGGAATGCAAAATGGTACAATCACTGTGGAAAGGCAGTTCCTCAGTAAGTTAAATATGGAATCACCGTATGACCCACCAATTCCACTCCTGGGTATACCCAAAAGATTGGGAAACAGGTATTCAAACAAAAACTTCCACACACATGTTCACAGCAGCACTATAACAGCCAAAAAAGATAGAAACAACCCAAATGTCCACCAACTGAAGAATGGATAAATACACTGTGTCATAACCATATAACAGAATATTATTCAATATTATTCATTCTTAAAAAAGAATAAAGTTCTTATATGCTACAACATGGATGAACCTTGGAAATGTGCTAAGTGAAAGGAGCCAGACTCGAAAGACCACGCATTTTATGATTCAAAATGAAATTAGCAAATCTATAGAGATTTCTGCTTGATTGAAGCAGATTAGTGGTTGCCACGAGCTGGGGGAAGTGGGAAATCGGAGTGACTGCTTGATGGATATGGGGTTTCTTTCCCAGATGATGAAAATGTTCTGGAACTAGATAGTGGTGATGGTGCACGACATTGTGAATACACTAAATGTCCCTAATGGTAAAATTTTTGTGTCGTTTACCACAACTAAAAAAATATATTCTGCTTAATTCAGCAAGAAAAGAAAAAAATCCAGTATATAAATATTTGATGTATTTATATCATGTATTTAAAGGGTCTGGCATAGTGCCTGGCACATAGGAGGTGATTTTAAAAATCAAACAACGCAGGAGCCATTATAAAGCTGGAAGTCCCCTTGGGGTTATCTTGGCCAATCCCCTCATTCCTAAATGAGGAAACTGAGGCCCATGGAGGGAAATAACCAATGTTACATAATAACAAACCCTCTTATTTCTAGTGGGCATCCCAGTTTAACCCCTACCACAATCCTATGAAATAGGCAAAGCAGGTAGTAATATCCCCATTTTACAGGTGAAGAAACTGTGACTCTGAAAGGTTAAGTGACCTTCCCTAGGTTACAAATAGTAAGAACCGACAACCAGGTCTATCTAATTCCAAGTCTTTGTTCACTCCTCTTTGATTTGACTTTGAAAAGCTGGAGGGCCTAGGGCCTAGGGCTCAAGCCTAAGCTTTCTATTAATATATGATCTCCTATCTTCACATGACTTTATATATGGACTATATGCTAATGTCTCTCAAATTCCTGTTTCCAGTTCCTACTTCTCCCCTGAATTCCAGACTTGGATGGAATCTACTTGGATGTCTAATGGATAGCTCAGCCCAAGATGTTCAACAAGAATACCTCATCTCACCCTTCCCTTAAATCTTCTTGGTCCCCCAGTCTTACCATCTCAGAGTACCCACACTATTCACCCGGTATCTCATGCCCAAAACCTAGTAAACATCTTTTATTCTACTTTTTCTCTCATTCCTCATAACAAATCCATCATCAAGTCCTATTGGTCCATCTGCAAAATATACCCAGAATGTGACCCCACCTTACCGTGTCTACCACTAGTTATCATCCTAGCTCATGCTGCCTTCATGCCTAGAGGATGTACTTGCTTCCCAAACTGGTCTCCCAGCTTCCTCCACCCTGGCCCCCTATAGTCTGTTTGCTACATAGCAGTGTAAGTGATCTTTTAAAGGTAAAAATAAGACCGTATCACTTTTTCTGCTCATTACCTTCCGATGGCTTCCCATTACACTCAGAACAAAATCTAAACTCCTTTCTGTAGCCATCAGGCCTAGATCTCGGCCTTCACCTTCTACTACGCTCCCTATTGCTCACTCCACTTCTCAAGTACACCAAGTTCAGTCCCATCCTCTGCCCAAATCCCTTCCTCAACTGTCGCATAGCTTGCTTCTTCACTTCAGGTCTCTGTTCAAATGTTACTCCTTGAACACCCTGTCTCCCACCATTCTGTAGTCCTTCTGTTTGTTCTTCACCTGACGTAATATTATTCATTTACTTATTCACTATTTGTCTCTTCTACTAAGATGTAAGCTCCAGGAAGAAAGGATTTTGCTTGTCTTGTTTACTGCTGTAATACAGATGTTCAGTTGTATTTGTTGAATGAATAAGTACTCCCTGGCCAGGCACAGTGGCTCACACCTATAATCCTAGCACTTTGGGAGGGTGAGGTGGGAGGATCGCTTGAGGTCAGGAGTTCAAGACCAGCCTGAGCATCTCTACTAAAAATAAAAAAATTAGCTGGGCATGGTGGCAAGAGCCTGTAGTCACCAGCTACTCGGGAGGCTGAGGCAGGAGGATCGCTTCAGCCCAGGAGTTTCACATTTCAGTGAGCTATGATGACATCACTGGACTCTACTTGGGGTGACAGAGCGATACTCTCACCCAAAAAAAAGTTAATGAAAAAAAGTATCCCCCAAGATTCCCTAGCCACCGCCACCAGTAGACCAAAGGTTGAGAGATAGGGTATACAGCACTTCCCCTCAACCAGCCCCTTACCTGTCTTTGTATTTGGACAACTTCTCTTCCTCCCAGGCAGTGTTTCCACCTCCAAAGTTGTCCCGGATAGTTCTTTCCAGGCCCTGGAAATAGATAAAATTAGTAATAGCTAAGTATAGTGCCTGGCACATGCTAGCACTTCACTATTTTACTCACCAGGAAACTAAGGCACAGAGAGGCAACCTGCCTAAAGCCACACAGCTAATAAGCAACCAAGATGGGACTTGAATCCATGCAGATTTGCATCCCAGAGCTCCTCACACTCAACAATGTGCCATAGTAGCTGTGCCCCCCTCCTATGAGGCTGCTGGTGCACCCACCTTGTTGAAGCTGTCCACAAGTGCCCGGCAGGTATGACACGGATGGGGCTGAGGCGGGGGAGAAGACTGAGGTGGCGGAGGGGGCTGGAGCCAGATGGGGCCTGGGAGGCTGAGGAAGAGGCTCAGGCCCCAGAGCAGAGCTTGGACCAGGCCCCTCGGGGGCCGTGGGGCCATCTTTTCCCAGGCTGGGGACCTGCAGATAGAGGGTGTGGAGAGGGTTCACTGAAGGAGCCAGGCCCCAGGTGAGAAAGAAAAGGGTCAGTTCCGAGTTGCCAGAGCTGGGCGCCCAGATCTGCGTTATTATGAGTAAAGGAGGCCAAACAGGGGTACCGCAGGGGCAGAGTAGATAGGTGGGGAAAGGCCTAATCTGCAATTCCAGGAGGGAAATAAGTTATCCCCATTACTGTGGGGAAGGTGAACTGGATCCTTGGCAAGCGGGTAAGAGTTAGCCCACTGTTTTAGGGTCTGAATAAATGTTAAGGGCCAAATCAGCAGAATTAGGGAGAAGAGGTCAGATTCCAAGTATTGAGGGAGAGGAGGCCGGATGGGCGGTTTGGGGGGAGGCGTCTGGAACCCGGATCCGGATATGAAGAAAATGGGTCAGGTTCAGGGCCTGGCAGGCGGGCAAAGGCACGGCTCACGAGCCGGTAGGGAAGGATCCAGACCCGCGTAGACCACTGAGCAGGAAGAAACGACCGCCCCAGCCAGCAGGCGCCGTGGGCTCAGTCTCCGAAACGCCGCCGCTGGCACCTCCTGCGTAAAACGTATAACCTCTACGGGCTCCGCAGTCCGGGGGGCGGAGCCTGCCGTCCAGCCAATAGCGATGGGCCATTTGCCATTGCGTCACCCCACGCTAACCAACCAGAGGCGGTGCCGAGCTGCACCTGTCCGGGCTTTAAAGGGCCGCGGGATGAGGGCATGCAACTTGCCAGCCTAGCTGCTCCGCCGTAGAGACACGCGTGGGCAACACGGATAGAAAAATAGCGTCTGCCTTTATTCAAGTCTGGTCCCCCGCCTCAGGTCCCATCGTGCGTCCCGGCCCCGGGGCCCTCGGGGTCTGGAAGCAGCTGTCCAGGGCTTGCTGAAGGGCCCGGGACACCTGCTCCACCGTCTCCCCTAGCCGCCTGGGGCGGCGAGCGCAGGGCCCCTGCAGGGCCCCCAGGAAGTCGGGCAGCTGCGAGGGCAGTGAGAAGACGGGCACGGTGCGGAAAAGGGCGGGCACGGCATCCGGGTGGAGCAGTCTGTCGAAGCAGGCCCCCACGTAGCGGCCCGGCGCCCGGCCCTGCAAGAAGTCGGGCAACACGCAGCTGAGCGAGGCGGCGAAGGCGTCGTGCGGGCCGTGCGCCCCAGGCGCTGGCGCCGGGTCCTGCAGCCACTCGCTGCACAGCGCCACGGCCCCGGGCGAGAAGAGCAGGACCACCATGCCGCCCTCCTGCAGGGTCTGGAGCCGCTGCGCGTGGAACCAGGCCAGGGGCCCCTGCGCGCTCAGTTCACGACGGCTCCACAGGTCCACGGCCACGCGCAGCGGCAACTGGCACAGCGCTGACGCCAGGACGCCCACCAGGCGCTCGAAGCCCGCGTCATCAGCCGAGTAGAGGAGCAAAGTCGCGCGGCCCCTGGTGGTCGCTGCTGGAGAGAACAGAGAGGGAAAGAAGGGGTGAGGTGGCCAGAGGCCCAGCCCTCTGGGGGCGGCCCCCCGCCCCGCGCTTGCTCCCACTCACCCCCCGAGCGGACGTCCTGCTTCAAGAGCCTCAGCCACCCTGTTAGGGGAGAGGGGCGGAGGTAGCTGGTGAGCTTGGCCGCCGCCTTCCCTCGGAGAACTCCCAGGCTCACTCATCCTGCCCCTGGGGAATGGGGGAGCCAAGAAGTGCTCACCTTTCACGTGGTCCTTTTTGAGAAGGAGGAGGAGGAAAAGCACAGCGGTAAAGAGTAGGCAGGCCAGCCACACCAGGGCCCAGCGCTTGTGGATGTCTGGGAGACCCAGAGAGGAAGATTAGAAACCTTACACGTTCACCCCCCTTCATAGACACGTAGAGAAATGGAGTGCTTTGCTCAGAGTCAACTGGGACGTAGTGCCAGAGCCAGTATATGAATATAGCTCCATCTATTTGGGTGACTTTTGGATAAGTAACTTCACCTTCTGCCTCAGTATTCACCTCTGTAAAATTGGGATAACAACAGCACCTACTTTATAGAGTTGGTGTGAGGATGAAATACATTAATACACATACAGCTCTTAACACAATGCTGAGCATTGTAAATGCTCAAATGTCAGCTAATATTATTGTCCCCTAAGCCTAGGGTTGCTGGGCCCTTGACCTTGCTGTCTTGGATGTCAGCAATAGCCTCCTAAACTGGTGTCCCTGCCCTTTTTTGTCTCCAATTTGTTCACCACATGGCAGTCTCAGAAATCTTTTAAAAATATAAATTTGATTGTAATCCTTCTGGAAGCTCCTGCTGCTCCAAACATAAAATACAAATTCCCTACGTGGCTCCTGCAGCTTCATCTCATGACAGAGGCTTGCCTGTCAAGACTCTAGCCACATTTGGTCACCTTGGAGTTCCTCAAAAAAGTGCCCCACAGTTGTTATAAAGGTGCATCTCTGGCCGGGCGCGGTGGCTCACGCCTGTAATCCTAGCTCTCTGGGAGGCCGAGGCGGGCAGATTGTTTGAGCTCAGGAGTTCGAGACCAGCCTGACCAAGAGCGAGACCCCGTCTCTACTAAAAAAATAGAAAGAAATTAATCGGACAACTAAAAATATATAGAAAAAATTAGCCAGGCACGGTGGCGCATGCCTGTAGTCCCAGCTACTCGGGAGGCTGAGTCAGGAGGATTGCTTGAGCCCAGGAGTTTGAGGTTGCTGTGAGCTAGGCTGATGCCATGGCACTCTAGCCAGGGCAACACAGTGAGACTCTGTCTCAAAAAAAAGAAAAAAAAAAAAGGTGCATCTCTACCCGCTTCACCTAGCTCAGCCTTCAGAGTGCAGCTCAAATCTTTCACCTGAACCCCTCACCCCACCTAGGTCAGGTCCCCATTATATGCATTTACAGCACTGAACACTTTTTAATGCTTCAATAGCTCACAGTGTTGTAAGCTCACACTTAACAAAATGTAAGTGATTGGCTAATGTCTTGCTAGTCTTCTATGGGTTCGGGCAGGAATTGTATCTTTTCGGTGATCCTGAGATGTTTGCAAGCTCTCACGCTTTTTAAATAAATGAAGGAATGACCCTCTGATTTATCCGAGCCCAGGGAAGGACAAGGCCATTACACGTGCTGTTCCCAGTGGTAGTCCCTGTCAAGATTCCAGCTCCCGGTACAGAGAGAAAGGGCAGTTCTTATAATACTCACATTTGTCCATGGGGCAGGCCCATAGGGCTCCCAGGTCATCATCCCACAGCTGTAAGACACAAATAGAACCAAGTCCAGGGCTCCAGCTTGGTTTTCAACATCCACCAAGTTCTGGTGATGGTGATCTCCAAATTCCCAGCCTCAATTGCGTATATTTCCCCCAACCCACAGCAGGCTCCTGCAAGCTGCTCTGCCTTTGCTTATGCTGTGTGTACTGCCTAGCATGCCAAGTCTGGCTCCCAGGAAGAAATCTTTCCTTGAAGCTCTCTCTAGAACCCAACACTTAGGACCTGTGGGTGTGGTTATCTGTTTACTGGTCTCTAGCTAGCAGTGAACTTGGGGATAGGAACTGTTTCTTCTACTCTTAACTTTTCCAGGGTTGAACACAAAATAAGCACAAATAATAGGTTAGTGCTAGTTTTAGGACTACTGTCCTTAGGCATTAGGGCAGGGCCCTTCTACCTCCTACTCACCTGCAAACACTGGCCTGACTGCAGGTCTAGTAGTAACTGCTCTCCGAGGTGAGCTGCTCTCTGCCAAGCCAAGGGGTGAGGGGGGCTGTTACCTGGGGGCAGCACCCACCAGGCTGCAGGTGGGCAGAATGGGGAGGGGGGTTGGGCAACTTTTGAGAAGCCACTGAACAGGGCCCAGTTCTGAGTCACCCCCACATCCCCAGAGACCAACACAGGGTGGCTGGAGTGAAAATTTGAGGCCAGGTGTGAAAAGGTGCTGGAGAGGTCTGTGTTGGAGGGTTCCCCAGCCCTCACCGTGGAGGCCCTGCTGGGCAGTGAAGTACAGCCGCTGGGTTCCAAAGCACAGAGTGATCTGCTGTCATGGGGCCTTCGTGTCTCCACCAGCAGCACATCATCCTTGAGGGGCCCCAGGGAGTCTGGAAGGGGTGAGAGGCCACTGTGACCAAATCCCCTTACTGGGAATTGCCACTTGCCCTCCCCCGATTCCCTGACCTTCACCCCCAGGAGCCAGTTCACCCTGCCCCAGCCTTCTTCAGGCTCCACTCACCAGCCCAGAAGCACTCTTGCAGCTGCAGCTTCTCCCAGCTGCTCACCTGCTTAGAAGGGGCCAGGGTTAGGGCCACCAGGAAGAGTAAGAGCCAAGGCCAGAAAGACCGAATAGAAGAGTCCAGGCAAGAGGAGGCCTGTCAGGTTGGGAGTCTGCACTCTGGCCCTGACCTTAGGCAGATTTAGGTTCAAGGCGGGTGATTGGGAGTCACTCGTCTTTCTTAGCCCAGGCTTTGTGAGGTCATCTGTGCTAAAGGGCTTCTGACCCCAAAGCTCTTCTCATGTCTTACAAAGCACTTTATACATTCTCTCATCTGACCACCTTCTCAGTGAGAAGATTCCCTTTTCACCTGACCACCCCACTTAAAATTGCGAGCCCAATCCTCCCCATCTTTCTATCTCTTCCCATAGTATTTGTATGCAATTTTAACATACTGTGTAATTTACTTACAATGTCTATTGTCTGATTTTCCCCATTAGAACATAGGTTCTATGAGGGTGGGGATATTTATTGTTTTTTTTTTTTTTGAGACAAAGTCTCACTGTGTTGCCCGGGCTAGAGTGCCGTGGCGTCAGCCTAGCTCACAGCAACCTCAAACTCCTGGGCTCAAGCGATCCTACTGCCTCAGCCTCCCAAGTAGCTGGGACTACAGGCATGCGCCACCATGCCCGGCTAATTTTTTTTTCTGTATATTTTTAGTTGTCCGATTAATTTCTTTCTATTTTTAGTAGAGACGGGGTCTCGCTCTTGCTCAGGCTGGTCTCGAACTCCACCCGCCTCGGCCTCCCAGAGTGCTAGGATTATAGGCGTGAGCCACCGCGCCAGGCCTTATTAATTTTTTTGAGACAGAGTCTGGCTCTGTTGCCCGGGCTAGAGTGCCATGGCGTCAGCCTAGCTCACAGCAACCTCAAACCACCGCACCCAGCCTATTTATTGGTTTTGTTCACAGCAGATCTATCACAAGTGCCTAAAACAGTGCCTAGCACATAGTAGATGCTCAATAAATGTTGAATGAGTGAATATTTTTATAATCACCCCTTGAAGTAGTAGAGCAACCCATTCTACAGGTGGGGAAATAGAATAATGATAGCAATAATAAAAGCAGCTAACATTTCTTGAGCATTTAGTCTGTATTAATCCCTAAGGCAGAGCACTTCTCTTATTTCATCTTCACAACCACTCTATGAAGTAGTTACTATATTATCATCTGCAGTAAACAGATCAGGAGACTAATGTTCAGAGAGGTGAAGAGACTTGCCCAGGCTCCTGTGCCCTTCCAAAGAGGAAGCCATAACCATTGCACCTTAGGGGCCCAAGAATAAAGGGGGTGGAGAGGACAGTGACTTGTTTGGGGGTCTGCACAGGTCCTGCTCCCAGCCCAGCTCTGGCATACCTTCCTGACCTGGACACAGAGGTTAGGGTGGCCTTTTAACAACGGGAATTCGCGGGCCTCCTGTGGAAAGAGGGCAGTGGGTAGGATCACAAAAGGAGGACCCTGGGTTCCCCACTCTTCCCTCAGCCAGGGCGCCACCCTCCGCCTGGCTTACGTTCACAGTGACATTCTCCCAGGGCAGCAGCGGGACCAGCGGCTGGCAGGGGCCCCCACCCAGTGCCTGCCAGCACAGCCCCGCCTCAGCGTGCAGCGAGCACGGCGCCTCCAGTCGCCAGCTCCGCGGGGACAGCAGCCGCAGCCGAGCGGCATGCCAGAGGTTCCGGTGTGCGCGAGGGTCTGCAGGGAAAGGGCGCGGGTCACCGCGTGCCTAGCACCCCTGCTACTGCACCGCCCCCAACCCGGGCCCGGGCTCACCCTCCTTGAAGGGGCAGATGTCCGTCCTGACGGAGTCGGGCTCCAGGGGCCACACCTGGAAAGGAAACAGAGCTCTACGCAGATCAGTTAAACCCAGACAACCCTCCGCGATGAGCATGTGCTGGGCCCGCCGCTAGGCCCCGGGAACGCACTTACTCAGCAGACATTTCACAAGCACTTGCCGGCTCTTCTGGCCTTTTACAAAGCCCTGCAGATGCGCACGTTTATTCATCCAGCAAACACAATGCCAAGCACTGGCAACGTCTTCATTCAAGAAGCTTTGAATGAGTGCCTACTATGTTTCTTAGCACTATGGTAGGCACAAGGAATGTTCAATAATTAATTTTAATTCATTCCACAACCACTTTGTGAGCACCTACTAGGTGCCTGGTAATGTGCTAGGTACTAAGGACATGTTCATATATTCCTCAGTAGACTTTTTTCTTTTTTTTTGAGACAGAGTCTCCCTCTGTTGCCCGGGCTAAGTACAGTGGCATCATCATAGTTCATTGCAACCTCAAACTCCTGCCTCAGCTTCCCAAGTAGCTGGGACTACAGGTTCCCACCCGGCTAATTTTTCTATTTCATTTTTGTAGAGATAGGGTCTCGCTCTTGCTCAGGCTGGTCTCAAACTCCTGACCTCAAACGATCCTCCCACTTTGGCCTCCCAAAGTGCTAGGATTACAGGTGTGAGCCATTGCACTCGGCCCCTTCAGTAGATTTTTTTTAAGAGCATCTATTATGTGCTTAGCCCTGTGTTAAGCACTAAAGATAATAGTTTATTTAATCAAACCTTTAAGAGTACCTACTATGTGGCAGGCACTGTGCTTGGCAATGAGGACATTAAAATCACAGCAAACATTTCATGAGCATCTGCTGTGTTCTACTGCTGGGCTAGGCAGTAGAGATTTATTCACTCATTCATTCAACAACCAGTACCCACTATATTCCAGGCACTGTGCAAGACTCTAGCAAAGTTATTACATTTGAATTAGATACAATTTGCTTGCTTTCAACGAAATCATAAACTCACAGTTGTCTGTAGTAAGGGTAAAATATGTAAATAAATTAGTAAATCAATCGCTCATTTCACAATATTTATTGAGCATTTGTTGTGTACAAGAAGAAATTAGACAAATGCCCAAATAAGAAAGGAAATGATAATGGACATGGACAGAGAAGGACAGAAGAAGTGCAAGGGGATATGGAGCCAGGAGAGGCCAGGTAGTTGGGGAAAACCTTTGGGAAAGAAGCGACACATGAGCTGGTAGGATTCGGTTGTATGGAAAAGGGGTAAGGGCATTTGAGACGGCGGGAAGTGCCCGAGCAAAGGCACAGAGGTGGGTGTATCTCGGGAAGTAGCTCCACTGGATGTAACAGAGTTCCCATGAAGGGGAATCATTGGAAAAAATACAGTGGAAAAGGTTCCATCGGGGGCAGAGTATGGGGCCCAGAATGCCAGGGAAGTGATGGGAAGGGAGGTGAGGCTGAAGGTTATTGAAACAGTCTAGAGGAAAGGTGATAGAGGCCCAGACAGGACTGAGATGGACAGGAGGGAGAAAGAGAATGAGAGACATTAACATCAGAGGTGAAATGAATGGGACCTGATGACCAACGTCAATCAGAGGAAGAAGAAAGAGCCAACATATTTAAGCCTGGAGGTGCCACATTTCCTTATAACAGCCCTATGAGGCTGGTACTATCATTATTCCCATTTTACAACGGGACACAGGCTCACAGAGATGAAATGACTTGCCCAAGGTCATACGGCAAGCAAATGGCAAGAGCTGGGATTCAAACCAGTCTGAGTCCACAGCACATGTTCTACCCTCCAGGGGAGCACAAAGAGAGAATCAGGGGAGTAGGGGAAGGCTTTGAGGAGGAGGTGACATTGGAATGGGGCCATGAAGCTCTGTGGATGTAGGAATCCTGTGGATGGGGGATCAGGAAGAGCATTCTGGCATGTAACAGGCAGAAGGCATGGGACAGCAAGAGTCAAGGGAGAGCCAGCCCCCCCCAGGGAGCCACAGTTTCCACCTCAAAAAAGAGTATGGAGAATGGTGAGACGAGGACATGGGGTTGGGGGGTCACTCCTCTCACCATCTTCCCAATCCCCTCTCACTGGCACCCAGCTGGACTCTGTTCCTACCTGAATACAGAGGCAGGGAACCAGGTCTGTGTGGTTCAAGGTAATGGTCTGTGGCCCAGTCTGTGGGACAAGCAAAAAGAGGCAGTTGGAGAAGATAAGGAGGAAGAAGAAGGGGAGGCCAAAGTCAAGGAAACCAGGTGGGCAGAAGTTCCCCCACCAATGTTCCCTTGCTTCGGGTGTGTCCTCTTCAGGGGTCCTCTTTGATAATGCACACACCTCCTTACCATGGGCATCCCCCCTAGAGTGGGCATGGGCTCGGGGAGGGGGAGGCCTCACCAGGTTTCTGTTCCACCAGGGCTTTGGGGAGCCCTGGACCTGATTCCAGTACAGGGAGAGGCCAAAGCGCTGCTCCTCAGAGACATTCAGCACCAGGCGCACGTCATCACCATATGTAGACACGTCGAGCCAGGGCAAGGCTGGTGAGGGAGGCGCAGAGAAAGAGGGCCGCTTACACTTTCTTCACCTCTTCTGCATGCCCACGCCTGGGCCGTACCCACCAACTGTGTTTGAGTTTCTTTTAAACCCCTTAGACTGGGAGGCCCTCGGAAGGTAGCCTGTGTCCCCATCTCAATTCAGACTCTGCCTCTAGCAGCTGGCCCAGGGCTGAGCCCATGGAGGGCCCAGTATGTAGTCTTAGGACAGCTCTTCTCCTTGCTTCTCCCTCTGTAGCCAGGAGGATCTGTAACCGGCTCCGTAAGCAAAATCACCTTTTTATAGTTCTCTTATATTTTGAGTTCCCAGGCCAGTAAGATTTGCTGACCAGAA